AAAGGTAAACCAAAGTGGCCGATTTGGGATGGAATCCCAGGGGTAACTTGGGACAGTCTGCCCTGTACAGCTTGTTGGTGCTGCCATTCAGCGACGGGGGTTCCTAGCGTCAAACCCGCGGCAGCGTTTTGTTTCAAAGGCCTCAGGGCACGCGCGGAAAGGTAGAAAAGGTGCATAACATTACAATTAGTATTTGAGAAACGGGGAACTACGAAATAGGGTTTTTGACTAAATATGGGGGGTAACTTGGGACACTCTTTCGAGACCGCTTGGAAACGATGTAATCGAGGCAAATGAACCAGACAAGCATGAAATTATGGGGAAAGGGTCAAACTTTAACATAGTTAGGATCCAATGGTCTGGGTTGAGAGTCTTGCCTCTGGCGTTCAAAAAACGTGAAAAAGTGTCCTAAGTAACCCCCGTTGACAGTCCGCGACAGACGTCCTTCCGGGGCCACCATGATGACCGGAGGCCTCAACGTCACATTGGATCATCGTGGTGGCCCCGGAAGTACGTTATCGGGGACCTCACGGCGTCGTCGACGGCGTTGCCCAAATTTGGGCGACGATTTTATGACTGCCCAAAATTTGGTCACCGTCAGCTCGTCATCCAAATTTGGGCGACGACGCGTGGGTCACCCAATAAAAGGGCGATGGTGGTGACTCTTTCATTCTCAGTGTAGCGAAACTTTATTGATGGACGTCTCTGAAGGCTCTGAAGCGTTCTGACGCGACATGTCTAGGAACAAACGTGACCGCTTGATAGCAGTCCAACATGTTCACACGGTGGACACGTCTCCTCGCAGAAAAAAGCCGGCTGAAAGTTCCAAGTTTGGGGCCGTACATTAATTACGTTTCGCACCAAGGGAGAGGGCGTGGGGAGGTAATCTGTCCGGCGTAACCGTGCGGTACATGGAGGGGCGGGGGGTTTGAGGCAGCGTGACGTTACACAGAATACTTCCAATGTGAGAGGAGCACAAACGGTCAATAAGGGTAAATTAAGAAAGTGTTTACACAGTGAAGTCTTTACGGATACCGTGTTTGTAGGTTACGGATGATTTTGAACAGCCGAATTACGGATTGCGGGGGGGTCACCCCCTTTTTTGAAGTGCCTGGTTTTCATTGAAAACTCTTTCCTACCTTAAGGAGTTTAATTTTGCCTTGTAATGTGTTCCTTATAGATTCCAAATTCAGCCAGACATTTAACCCCTATGAGTCGAGGTATTCTGTACATATAGGATACTTGACACATATGTCTAGTTCACACCGTCGCCCTTTTTGGAAAGTGAGTTCCAGTTTTTTGTAAAGATGGCAGAAAAGTGCAAAAAAGGAAGTATTAACTCTCTAGATGTATGTGTGAAGTAACCTGTACAGAATCCTGGACCTGGAGATCAATAGGGTATACTTCGGAGAAGAGCTGGACCGGAAGTTGAGAAGAAATCAAGAAGAAGAAACGCCGGACTTGTATGAGAATGTAACTCTGCGGAAGCGGCAGAACGGCGACGCAGACGCTCATTCTTACGCATTTCGCATACTTTGTTCTTCTTGATTTCTTCTCAACTTCCGCTCCAGCTCTTCTCCAAAGTACCCTATTACTTTTCGAGAAAACGTGCGCACCGAAGGTTGGCAGCGTTGTTTTGTGGCCGAAGTTTTCTACACTCATAGGGTACTTGGGTTAAATGTCTGGCTGAATTTGGAATCTATATGGAACACATTACAAGACAAAATTAAACTCCTTAAGGTAGGAAAGAGTTTTCAATGAAAACTAGGCACTTTTTAAAAAAGGGGGGCTTTAATGGGTATTTCCCACGTTGAGTGCGTTGCGACGATCCTCTCTTCAAAGCGGCACCTTTGTTCTGTCCAATAGACCCATACAAACGCGGCAGTAGCCCGTCACCAAAACGGTGACGGTGTCCATAACGGTGACCTAAATGATGTTCCGCTAAGAGACGTTAGGATGGACACATTTTCGAGTGTTCACGGGCCACGTTACGCTTTGATCAGTCGAGCGAATGATGACAACCCCTGACTTTTTCCTTACGTATTTCTCATTAAATAAATGACGTTTTAGGGGGGACCGTGGTGAAACTTGCAAGTAGGCTTTCTGAACATTTCAGTAAGACGAAACCTTATGCCCAAATAGTTAGGTCCATTATGGCGAGTTCCCAGAGAGCTAATTTATCTAATACGAGCAACGCCTTTCCGCAACTACTCTGAGGTTTTCAGTTCGAAGTGGCTGAATTTGGCACTTAGAAATTGACCAAGGAACCCGAATTTGGGGAAATGGTTCAAGCCGAAGCACACACCCAGGTTCAGCTCAGGCCATTTCGAAGCTGTCAAGGCGTCACAGGTGTAGCTATTTTGAGGGGTCTAAAAAGTGGCACTTTCAATCTCGTCGCTTAATGGGTGGCCCCCGAGCCGTAACAGCCATGTTCGTTGGTTCCGAGGGGAGAGGTTTGCGCGGGCAATGGGAGTCAAGAAGGGGTGGAGCGGCACAGCGGATCTGTGCAGCGTTCCCTCTTGCGGCGCCTGAACAGCTGAGATTAAAGGTCAGCTCGCCAAGCGGCGCTCGGTGAGCATTCGCTGCACCGTAGTCGGTTTATTGTAAAAAATCAGTGGTAAATTTGTCTACCCATTTCCGGAACAAATTTCTCCTCTTGGTCGTATGGAATACGCTTGCCGATCCATGTATGGAGACGAAGGTGTTTACGTGTCCATGCGGGAAGTTTGCATTGCCATTGAATGAGTAAATTTACTCCGTGGATAGGTAAGTCCTTATTCACGTTCATGATAGTAAAATAACTCATTCCATTATGCACACTTATCATCTTACGATGGTAACGCGAACGTAACATACGCTGAAATCAAAACATGCGTATTACGCTGAAATGTCATCGTACTACAATCGCAACCAACGTACCTTACGTTGACAACGTGCGTAATACGTTGAAAACATGCGTATTACGTTGAAAATCCTGCGTACCTTACGTTGACATTCGTGCGTATTATGCAGGTTGGAAATTGGTCGTACGTTACGATGGAAAATCATCGTATTACGCACGAAAACCAACGTAAGATGATGAGCGTGTGCTGTAAACATCTGCGTTTGGATGTGTGAAATGATAATGAAAACAACTTGCGAACACACATCACTCTGCACTAATAAGCTTACCATGGAATCCTCCATATCATGTGGATCATTGCTAACTTTCGATATGCTTAGAAATAATTTGAATAATTCATTCATAGCAGTTGACATCATCCCTGCTGTGAATCCAAACGCTCGTGTGGACGCGGTGAATTTCTGCGTTTGGAGGAGTGAAACATCTTCCTCGACCCAAAGGGACACGCGCGGACCAGGTTGGGTGGGCGGGCGGCAGGCCGGGCCGCTGTAGTACCGCGCCTCTCCCGACCTTCGCAGGCAAGCGTCGCGGTGCAAAGAGTAGCGGCGCGGGGTTCGGAGCGAGAGAATCAGGGTTCGAGACGCGGGCCTATCACACCCTTAAAACCTTACGAAATATTTTGAGCATACGTATAACAAACTAAAATACTTTGTTATACGAAGAAATAGTTCGTAAATTACAAAGTATTTTCTTTGTAAGCTTACGTATGCTCAAAATACTTTGTTATACAAACTACTTTTCTTTGTAAGGCCCAAAATAGTTTGTAAGGTTTTCTCAGTGCACTTCAGGCCAAATGGATTTCATCACGTGGGATGTATTCTGGGGTACAGTTGTTCTTTCCCACCACTCTCACTCTCATGACTACCCTTGGCCTCGTGATCGTGTAAAATTACAATTTTACCCCCCCCCCCACGAATCGAGAAAACAATTTTCACACCTAAAGTGCTAATTTACATCCGTGGATCCACTCTACAAAAAATGTCCTGTCAACGCCGTTAATTTATTACCAATGTTTGCTGTTATGCAATTCACGGCGTTTGCTGTGAACTAGTTCACGGCGTTCACTGTGATCTCGATTACAGTGTTCACTGTGATCTGGCCACAGTAAACGCCGTGAATTGGAGCCTGATTTGCAGTCCTTCGGTGCTCAGCGGCGTCAAACTCACAGTGTTTACTGGGGACCAGATCACAGTGAACACCGCGAACAAGATCACAGTGAATCTCGTGAGCAGATCACAGTAAACGCTGTGAATTGACCTACAGTGAAAACTGGTAATAAATTAACGGCATTTACAGGACATTTTTGGTAGAGTGTCGAGAAAACATAATTTACGCACCTAAAGGACAAATTTACCCCCGTGGATCGAGAAAACATAATTTTCACACCAAAAGGACAAATTTTCCCCGTGGATCGGCAAAGTCATATGCGCCAATTTGCTCTTACACAGTTTGGCATGTAGGATTACTTTTACCCTCTAAAGAGATGCGGGAATTCGCCAATCGATGGACCGAGGACAAGCGTTGCGCGGTCCAGATTTGTAAATTTACCCTCGAAATTTTTACAAGAACTTTGGAAATTCTGGTTTCGCAATTCAGGCCACTTTTTTGTCACCAGCCCCCCCTTTCCTCTAAAAAAAAACAACAACGCTTGCTCTGCAAACTGAAGTGTGTACATAGTACATTCTTATTAGAGCATGCTTCCAAGAACACTCTTATTTGCAGCATACTTGCTAGGTACACACTTACATTGCATGTACACGCTAAATAAGAGTGTACCTGGCAAGTACACTTAAACTGGCCCATGCTTTTAGATAGGACTTATCGAGTGTATTTTAGCGTGTACATGGAAGGTACACACTTATTTAGCGTGTACTTGCCAGGCACACTCTATTTTTGGCTGAGCGATCGCGAAGCCTGTTTCTCCAGTGCGGTTGAAAAGTTTTGTCTGTCTGTCCGTCTGTCTGTCTGTGTGTGTACACTACTCCTCCTGAACGGCTCGGCCGATCTAGCTGAGATTTTGCAGGCTTATTAGGTATATTCTTGGCTCGGCACTAGTTCAGTTTTTATAGCCGAAAAACACCTAATAAACGGCGAAAAATCGAGTTTTCTGCAGGTAGATCACCTCTGTCTTGAAGAAAGGGGGTCTGGGGGGCGGAGCCCCCCAGCCTCGACAAGTTAAAGAGTTACAAGGGTCAAGATCATGTTATCTGTAGATGAAGCAACTCTTTCTAGAATAAAGGGGGGTCTGGGGGGCCCAGCATGCATCACGTAAGAAGTAAACGACGATGGACAAGCCAATGCCTGCCGAAGGCAGGCTAGCGCCGCAGGCCAAGGTAGGTACGCCAGGCGCGGATTGGAGGAACAGGCCGCGAGATATCGCGAAGCCTGTTACGACAAGACGCGGTCTGGCGTATACCTACCTTGTAGCGTGTGCCTAGCAAGTATGCTGTAAATAAGAGTGTACTTGGAAGCATGCTCTAATAAGAGTGTACCACTTCAGTTTGCAGAGTGTTTCTGAGGGAACGTGAACGTGCAGCACATACTTCTGCGAAGTCATCTTTTACGTTGAAGCAAACTTGACGTTTATCACGAGCCGGTACGCCTTCGTGCAGCGACGGGGTGAACTAGAGATCCGCTTCATAGCTTATAACGGAGCCGACCTTGACTCGAGGCAGACAACGCCATGGCCCGCGCCTGTTTCGTGTTCGCGCTCCTGCTGGTGGTTGCCGCCTGCAACGCCAAAGTGTGGGACCGCTGCACTCTGGCCAAGACTCTTCTCCACAAGTAGGTTTGATGCCTGGCGGTCCAATACCATGATAAAGCGTCTGGTTCACATCTAAGGGAGAGTGGGGTAATTCCGGACGCTTTTTTTCTTTTCGGTCTTTGAGCTTGAATATGCTTCTTGGGTCAAATGTTATTACAGGAGAGTAAAGTATGGACCTTTACCTTCACAATGATATCCATGAACGCCAAATCTCAGCAACGGTTAGGGAGAGATAGGCGCCTAACAAAAGCCCTGCTCGTGTCCGGAATTACCCCAGCCTGGGGTACTCTACAAACTGAAGTGTGTACTCAGTATGCATCTACAGATGCATACTTATAAGTACACACCTACAGATGCATACCTAGCTGAGTACACATCTACAAATGCATACCTGTTAAGTATGCATCTGTAGGTGCATACTTGGCAAGTATGCATTAGTAGGTGTGTACTTGTCACCATATGAATGCCCAGTATCAAGTACACATCTTCAGATGCATACTTGGCTGAGAACACATCTACAGACGCATACCTATCAAGTATGCATCTGTAGATGTGTACTCAGCCAAGTATGCATCTGTAGGTGTGTACTTATAAGTATGCATCTGTAGATGCATACTGAGTACACACTTCAGTTTGTAGAGTAATTCCGGACGACCTATGGGGCAATTCCGGACGACCTTAATATTTGACACTACTCGAGCTTACTTTCGCTTGTTTTGATGTCAGGCATGCTTTTAGAAGGCGTACAAGGATATTTGCTGCGAACTGAAATGTTTGATTATTACTCAAAGCATATTATAAGTAATAGTTTCCATTAAAACCCCTAAATTGACAACACTGTCTTGAGTAAAGCTCTTAAACATAGCTGCAATACTGTTTTCGTCCTTTCGTTATCCTTCCTAACGGGGGGGAGGCATGTCCACAATTTTGAACCCACTACCTTAATATAATGCGGGAAAATGAAGAAAATAACACTTCTTGTCCGGATTTACCCCACAGGGGGTAAAGTGCCGAACATGGATCGGGGTACCAATCATGGATCATTTTCGTTAGCGAGCCCGTACCGCCAAACAAATCGACCAATTGAATTTTTTCGAAGTTTTTCATGAAGTCTACACCTCTAACTTTCAGAATCACGAGCGGGGGCGCTGAGCAACCTTGCCGTTACCCTTACAGCATGCAAGTGAAAAAGTGCCTCTAAAAAGAGGTCCGAAAACGGCCTGTTTTCAGGTTAGGTTAGGAGTCAAAATTCAAACCGTTATTAAAAAGAATCCATTCATCAGAAATGTCTCAAAATTTTTTCGTGGCACCTTCAGAGTGTACTCTTTGAAAATTTAGGCGACCGGAAGTAATCGGATCGCCCCTGTCAAAACGCGAGGGGGGGTGATCCATGTTTGGGTCTGACCCAAACATGGATCACTAAAATCAGTGAAATTTCAAAGCCCTGTAAATTTCAAAGTATTTGTTATTCAATGTAGAGTTCTTGGGAGAAGGTTGTCTTTGTGGTAATCTTGAAGTGTGTCGAAGAAAATTTAGGTCATCGCTTGTTTGAGCCGAAATAGGGGACATTTCTAAAAAGTGATCCATGTTTGGTAACCTTACCCTAGTGAAAACCTTTGATGTTCAATTGTAAGAAAACGGCGAGCCATACGAGCACTCCCTAAACGCCAAAGTAAAATCCAATGACCATATAATATGATAGAATTTTAGTCATGGGACTGAACTTGATGTTAAGGTACGATAAGTACATGGAAATACAGGGGAAAGATGCAGCTTTTGCCTATTTTTGATGGTACTCAAAATTCGTGAAGCGACCACAGCCAAACGGTTTGACCTCCTACCTTGGCGATTTGGAATTATCATTTTCTAACTGATTATCTTCCTCTGTTAGGCGGGCTTTTGAGTTATCTTTACTCAAACCCAGTGAAAATCGAAGTGTCCGGAATTACCCCGTGTCCGGAATTACCCCACTCTCCCTTAACCCAACTGCCTACGGAGTGGACTATTCAGTCGTTCACTACGCAGTATTTTTGTGCATAAATTTCGCTTTGAGCATAAAGCTTTCGCTCAAAATAGAGCATGCGCGTGAGAAGAGTTTTCGGGGTCGCGAATGCTTGGGAACCGCATCGCCGAGACACATATGTTGAATTTTGCAAATCGAAATATTTCAGACCAAAACACATTAGTGCTCATTTTACTTCTTTGGACACACAAAGAAATTCAATTTGATTTCAATTCGGAGCGAATGCGCCCTCATTGCATTTGATTCGGAGAAATTATCCAACGACCGATTCTACAATGAAAGAGGCCCCTTACACGATGAAAATTTGTTGCCACTTTATATGACAAAAACGTGGATGACATTTTCATCACTTTGAAATGATGACAATCTCGTCATGAATTGATGACATTTTCATCAAAGCTGCTATACTTATTGCATGGGCGTGACAGCAATGTCATTAATTGAATTGATGACATCCTTGTACTCTACAAATCAAAGAGTGTACATGGTACGCTCTAACTGGAGCATGCCTGCAAGCACGCTCTAACTAGCGCATGCCTGCCAAGCATGCACTAACTAGTGCATACATGCCATGTACACGCTAACTGAAGCATACATTTACTACATAAGGGATAGGGAGCTTTCTGCATCAGGAAGCGTGTACATGGCATGTATGCACTAGTTAGTGCATGCTTGGTAGGCATGCGCTAGCTAGAGCGTGCTTGCAGGCATGCTCCAGTTAGAGCATACTATGTACACTCTTTGATTTGTAGAGTAGGGAAAGTTAGCCTTGAAATTGTCATCAAGTGACGACTCAAATTTTCAGCGTAGCACACCACTTTGTGTGCACTTAGTAGCCAGTAAGGGGCCGTACACAAATAACGTCACGCGTTTTTTTTTTCGATTTTTGCCCCCCCCCCCTCTGTTACATTTCGTCACATCCAGCTGAACCACCTCCCCCTTTGTGACGTTATTTATGGGGATTTAGAAGATAATCAATGCTACCTGCCAAATTGTAATTTCGTTAGAATTTTAACTTAAGTAAAAAGTTGCAGAGTTCAAATAAAGTTAAAATGTTGATTGGCAGAGCGTGCGGTTTGCGCAGGGCAGTGCAGCGGCGAGTGTGCAGTGCAGTAGCGTAAGGCCGTCGTTTGCGGGAAAAGGCGATTTTATAGGTATTTTAAGGAAATGACGTCGCAAGGGCTCGGCACCCCCCCCCCCCCCCCTCCTTCCTCGCTACATCTCATCACGTCCTGGCGGACCCCCACGCCCCTCTAAATGCGTGACGTTATTTGTGCACGGCCCCTAATGCTTGAGGCGAAGTGGGCGCTCGATTCACTGGCCATCGCGATTTCTTGTCATCTTGCCGCTGTTTTCAGATTCTCAACGAACGACCACCACCACCGTCGGAACTGGATATGAACGACGGAGCCTAAATTTTCACTCGATTTGTACGTGTTTTCAGATACAAGATACCACGTTGGCAGTTGGACTCGTGGATGTGCATCGCCTTCAGAGAATCGCGTTATACCTCGACGCACATAAACACCATCAACGCAGACGGCTCCAAGGACTACGGCCTCTTCCAAATCAACAACCGGTGGTGGTGCCACAACAACGAGTCTCCGGCCCCCAACCAGAATTCGTGCAAGGTGCACTGCGACACAGTCCTGAAAAGCATGGACGCCACTGTCAAGTGTATTAAGATTATGTACGCTAAGGCCAAGAATTCGTGGGAACCTTGGATCACCTACCCGTACTGCAAGAAACAGGATATGACAGCCTTCACCAAGGGTTGTGGTATCTAAAGCCCAATACTTTATCGTTGTATCGCAATGAGGAAAACTTGATTGAGAATTTGAATAAAGTCACTCAACTTTTTCTTTTCTGTGTTCCTAATACCAGACACGTTTCTATCAATGCTCGCTTAACTACTTCTGCCACTTTAAGGTTAGGTTTGGAAAAAAAACTTTCCAAACAATACGATGACAATTTTCTGCCGATTGAGTAAAGCAGTTAAGTTGAGACTATAATCTAACGAAAACTTATTTTAATGTTATTTCTTTACAGCAACTACTCACTCACCTTAATGGTGTTCACCGTTGAAGCTGAAACCGGCTATTGCACACTTTTAGCTAAGAACTTTGAAACTACTGTTTTTGACAATTTTGGCGTTTTTTTCAGCCCCCCCCCCCCTTTTAACAGCGCTTGTTTCTAAGGGAACGCGCCGATCGTGCAGCACATATTTCCACGTAGGCACCGTTATCGTTGAAGCAAACTTGATGTTTCTCACGAGCCGGTGCGCCTTCGTGCAATGACGGAGTGGCCAAGAGATCCGGCTCATAGCTTATAAAACGGAGCTGACCTTGACTCGAGGCAGACAACGCCATGGCTCGCGCCTGTTTCGTGTTCGCGCTCCTGCTGGTCGTTGCCGCCTGCAACGCCAAAGTGTGGGACCGCTGCACTCTGGCGAAAACTCTTCTCCACAAGTAGGTTTGATGCCTGGCGGTCCAACGATTTGGCGTCTAGTTCACATCTAAGCCAACTGCCTACGCAGTGGACTCTTCGGTCGTTCACTACGTAGTATTTTTGTGCACAAATTTCGCTCTGCACTGATAAAAATTCTGTCGTAACTTAGCGACACATCTATCGCTAATTTTTTTAGCGACAAGATTTGTTGTGGAACGAATAGCTTGTTAAACCAAACTCGTACTGGAACTAAAGGATAATTTCACAACGACTAACTTGTAATAACACATTAGCAGTCTACTTTCAAATACAAGTCGTTGACCAACAACAAATGTTGTTAGTCAACGGTAAGTTTTGTAAGTCGAAAAAGATTTTGTAATGTCTGGGGCAAGTATTCATGGAGTCCTTTTGTCGCTAAATTTATTTTGCGTAGTTCTTTAGCTATAGTAATGTTGCTATGACTAAAGATGACCTATAGATGATTATTCATAATATTCTTTAGAGCAGATAATTGCAAAATATTTTGTTTCCATACAAATAGGATCGTGAAGGGTGATAACAAGAATTTTGTTCTTCAACGACAAATTGTCACTTACAAGATTCAACGACATTTCTTCGCTTTGGTTCATGATGAAATTCTATGTTTTGGAACGACTAAATTTTCACTCATCTGATTGTTTCTATACAACCATTTATTAACAGTGTGGGCTTAAGCTTTCGTTCAGAATAGAGCATGCGCGTGAGAAGAGTTTGTGCGCAACAGCGCACACTTAAGTGCACACTTTCGTGCAAGCCTATGAACAAATAGCCACATCGAAAGTTAGAGTTGGCCGCAAGGTGGGGAGTGAGCACTCGGGGACTCGAACTACAGAGGATTGAAAATTGCTCCGTTTCACGAAAATTTGCAAGTAGACCTAACAGTAACCCTGAATACCTACTCCCTCTCCCCTCTCCCATTCCAAATAACCGATCTGCACTCGATACGGTTGATAAACGTTTCACTGTAAAGGCAGTGGGAAGTCTGCTCGCCACAAAATTTGACAGCTTGGCCCGGAAAAACTTACTAGTTTGCCAAAATTTGGCAAGCTTATGAAGATTTCCGACCGAAACTTGTCAAATTTAGGCATTCATAGAACGGCTTGACGAATAAGTGGCAAGCAACCTTGCTACTGGCTTCACTATGTTGTGACCGGGTTGCATCGACGTTCGTTACATTCGCGTCGACGAAAAGTCAATCGGACCCGTACTTTACTTTCAATTTACATTTAAGGATTGATAATAGGAGATTCCAAGTACTTCGACGAACCCCTATCTCCATGGGACAGCTGACAACGGCTTATGTAACAAACGTTACCGCCGAGCTTATGTACTCGATTACGGCCGATTGCGCTTTGAAAACCGGATAGTTACCAATGCGAATCCGTGTAAAACGAATCGCAAGTGAAAAGCCGGGCTGGAAAGATGCGGGGGAAATGCTGCGAACATTAAAAGTTCAAAGTCAAAAACCTTCAAAAATAGTTTCCATGTTATAGCGATGTGATCCACTAACAGATCCGTCCATTGCGAATCCTATGGGCTTGAGTTTGAGCGTAAATTGGTGCAATGCGTTCGAGGACGTTTTCATTCCACCAATTGGTTCCATGCGTCTGCATTGCACGTAACGTGCAATGCCTTCCTAGGGTGCGTCGTTTTTCCCCTACTTTCGGCTACGACTTCAGGATTGAACTGAAAAGTTTCCTTTTTTTGTGCTGATTTCAATAATGACCTCGGTTTTGCGATAGGACAGCTCCTTTATCACCCTATATATAGGGTACGCATCATGTCAAAAAAAATGACAATTTTTAGCGTTGCCCTGATTTTAGACCTCGCGGACGGTCTAAGGTGGTCGGGGAGACCGTTCCCTGCGTGGATTGTCATCACAAACACTATAGACAACGTTTTCAGTCGTATGGACCCGCCGCGCAGTCTTACAATGAAATTTGAACTATGTTGTTCGTAAGGTACCGTAAGTTACAGTGGATTCGGCGTAAGCATAATACGAAGCAATATTCCTTCGTAATACGAATCTTTTTAGCTTTTTCAGGAATAACAGGAAAAGTAGCGATATACATCGGCAACTTTGGCCCGTCCCGTACATTAACAAATGTGTGAATTTCGCCTTTGTTTAGCCCTGACGGGTTTGAACCTGAGTCTGGGGTCAAAATGGATGTTATTTCCGTCATCAGCGCCCTCAAAAACATAAGAAACAATGCAAAAACTCGAATAAAAAGAATGTTCAAAATATACCCCACTGGGATTTGAACCCGGGTCCGAACTTCTCCGATTCGTTCGAAAGTGGCACCATTGGATTTTTCTCGTCGCACCGATTCCAAAAATACCCCTACATGCCCTGCTAGCTGCATCCGTTGCCGAGATCCTCCTCGACCCCATGTAGACCATGATGCACCTGCAGCAGCGCCCCCGGGGCTCGGATCGGATTTGCTGCCACCGGGCGGTTCTTAGGGTCACCCAAGGAGGCTGCATACCAAATTTGGTCAAGATCGGACCACGGGAAGTCCTCGGACGAACGAACGAACGGACGAACGAACGGACGCACAGCATGCATCATACTATATGCCCGCTCCACAAATCGAAAAGCGTACATTGTATGCTCTAACTGGAGCATGCCTGCAAGCACGCTCTAGCTGGCGCATGCCTGCCAAGCATGCACTTACTAGTGCATACATGCTATGTACACGCTAACTGAAGCATGCATCTAGTGCATAAGGGATAGGGAGTTTCCTGCATCAGAAAGCGTGTACATGGCATGTATGCGCTAGTAAGTGCATGCTTGGCAGGCATGCGCTAGCTAGAGCGTGCTTACAGGCATGCTCCAGTTAGAGCATACAATGTACGCTCTTCCATTTGTAGAGCGTCCCTCCGTCATTTTTTTACAAAAAATAAACGGGACGGGCCAAAAAATAAACGGGACGGGCCAAAAACCTTCGTTATACGAAGAAAAACCACCTTCGTACACTGTTAAAAATCGTCGTAAATTTACGACATTTTGTAGAACAATTATGTCGTTTTAAAGCGACATATTTTGTTACGACTCAAGTCGTAAAAATACGACTTGAGTCGTAAATTTACGACTTGAGTCGTAAATTTACGACATATTTGTCGCTAATTTTGATAGCGAGACGTTCCGTTTTAAAACGAATTAAGTCGTAAATTTACAACTTAATCGTAAGTTTACGAACGATCGTAATTTATCTATTGAGTATGTCGTGCAGTTATGACTTCAGTCGTACATTTACGAATCTTGTCGTAAATTTGTGTAATGAATCGTAAATGAACGACACAAATCGTAAATAAGCGAGCACAATTGCAACTTTTCATCAACTTTTCGGGGATTTCAGATTTCAAAATATGTAATCGCGATAACGACAGTGTCGTAGAGAAATGATTTTTTCGTCGTTCAGTTACGACGAAGTAGTTTCAAAACGCTTTCTGTCGCTATCAAAATTAGCGACGTTTTTGTCGCTAATTTACGACAAAATTTCTGACAGTGTATTATGCTTGCGCCATTTCCTTCGTATCATGGGAAATTTCTTCGTGAGACATTTAGAGTGCACCGCACATAAGAGAGTCAGACTTCAACTTTTTTTTTGAATATATGCTAAAAATCGTTTTTTTTTCGTCTTTCAACTTTTCTTGAGGTTTGTGACAGCCTACCCACTTTATCATCAGGTGCTGTAAAAAGTAGTGTATAGAACGGCAGTGGACAAACTCAGACCCCACCATTGGGCTGGGGAGCGCAGAAGCGCTTGAGGGGAATAGAGAAATTTCCAGAAAAGCCATTTATCAGTCGCTGAATGAGGGAGCATGAATTTTCAATTGATTTGTACGTATTTTCAGATACAAGATACCACGTTGGCAGTTGGACTCATGGATGTGCATCGCCTTCAGAGAATCGCGATATGACTCGACGCACATAAACACCATCAACACAGACGGCTCCAAGGACTACGGCCTCTTCCAAATCAACAACCGGTGGTGGTGCCACAACAACGAGTCTCCGGCCCCCAACCAGAATCTGTGCAACGTGCCTTGCGACAGAGTTTTGAAAAACATGGACGCCACTGTAAAGTGTATCAAGACCATGTACGCGAAGAGCAAGAACACGTGGGAACCTTGGATCACCTACCCGTACTGCAAGAAACAGGATATGACAGCCTTCACCAAAGGTTGTGGTGTATAAAGTGCTTCAATCTTCTTTATCGTTGTATTTCACTCATTGAAATGAAGAAAACTTGGTTGAAAATTCGAAGAAAGCCACGCGACATTTTCTTTTCTGTGTACCTACCACCAGACATTAATGCTCAATAATTATTTCTGCCGCTTTCTAACACATTTTGGGAAAAATAATATTTTCCAAACAATACGATGACATGATGACATTCAGTTTAAAGGAATCCTGCAAAGGAATCGACTAAAACTTGAGTGCGGCATCAAGTTTGAAGGTCGTAGCAAAGCAATAATTGAATGTAAGCCCACTTTCGATCAATGTTTTCCATCGAAACCGCATCGCAAAAGCAAGGGAAAAATGGGTTTTCGCTGAAAACGCGACAAGAAAAGTCTCGACTCTTTTTTTTTTTTGAGAACGATCATCTCGTAAAGTTTTTGAGGGCCTTTGAGATGAAACCTAGCTTAAACACTTCCTCCATTCACACATAATCGTGCTATTTTGATATCAAAACAGCTTGCCAATTTTCCCGTGTGGAAGGATCTATAGTGAAACTGCAGTTTAAACTGTAGTGCCAAAACTACAGTTCCTGAACTGCAGTTTTTGGTAAGAACTACGTGCAGAATAAGTCCAGTTTCAGTGTGCTTATGGATCTGTAGTTTGATGAGTGTGCAAACTACTTTCTAGCTGAACTGCTATTTGTTGACCAGGTATTAAGTACTATCTATAGTTAAAAAGTGAACTTAAAAGTTTTTTAATACTGTAGTCCACAACTGAAGATCCGCGTACACTTATATCTTCAGCAGGATCTATAAAGGAAATGAAGTTTCTGCTCATACTTTTTTACACAATGACAAACTAGCTGAATGTTTACTACAATTTGTAGTAATTTTTCGCTTACGGCATAGTAGATGTCAAGCACTGCAACTTGATATGAAGAAACAAAAACAATTACATTGAGTGATTTAAATAATATAAGGATTGGAAAGGAAATATCTCTTAGAAGTTTCAGTTATATCTTTTAAAGTTTTACGTTGAAATACTTGACATTGGACACTTTTAGAAGACACGACTGCTGGATGTAACCATGCTTATAATACTATCTGGTTATCTGTTCGCTTATTTTAAAATGTTCCATATTAGTAAGGTAGCATGTGACAAAGTATCGTGGAAATCAACAAGCCACAAAATTTAGCCAGCATGTCGCCAAACAAGGTCTAGCTAAGTGGCATCAAATTCATTATGACTGGATGATAAAATGTCAAACACAAATAAAACTAGAAAGCATTATAATGCGGTGCGTCTCAGAAGTTGAAAAGGTAACGACTCCAGTCGTTGAAAAATAAGACCTTGAGGTACAGTGAAGAAATGTCCACAGGTAAATGTCCGGTCCGTTTTTGTCCATCGATTTTTCGTCCATGCACACAATGTCCAAGGTAGAATGTCCAATAATTTAATGACCACCCCTAATAAAGGCCTGAGGTTTTTTCGGCACCGAACGAATGTGGTCGACATGCATCATGCTAACATGTGGAGGATCGTTTGCGAGTGGAGGTCTGAGGAACATGATCTCCCCCAAGTACTTGGTGGGGTTGGGGCTGGACACATCCATGTCATCCATGGGCATGAATGAGAAGAATGAGATGTGCCGACGCACGATTCATATTCTGCCCAATAGCTACGAGGATTACAACGAAAGGTGGAAGGAATTTCAGGTACTTACACTACAAACCTAATTGTCTACCAAGTACACACTTACAAATACATGCTTGGCAAGTACACACTTGCAAACGCCTATGCTTAGCATGGAGTTAAACGGTGCCAAGCATGCGTTTTGTACGTGTAAACTTGCCAAGTATGCATTTGTAAGTGTGTACAAAGTACACAGGTTTGTAGTGTAGAGACAATTGCGTACAACATCAAGGTGCAGCCATTGTTAGATGCTAAATGCCAAATGCCAAATAAAATTGTTTGAGAACGGAGTTAGTTAATTTGTCACTATGGATAAACAAATAGTTGGACATTTAAAAATGCGGCCATATAATTCGGGGGCATTCTTTCCACGTGGACATATTTCTTCACCGGACATTATTTCCTAACGGACATGAATTAAGTGGACATTTTTTCAGCGGACATTAGTTCCTGAAACCGACCTTGAAGGCTCTCTGAATTAAATCACTCCATGGTGTCTTGGTTCCTGAGGAAATTCATTGTGCTGCAACAAATTATTGTGCTGCAGAATATCCTAACTTGGACTTCTATCGTTGCATTTACGTCCAGAAAGAATTATATAAAATTTTTTGGAGCGCAGAATCAACAAAGTAAGGCTTTAACCGTAGACTGATCCAAGTTACCCCCGTCGGGTGTCCCAAGTTATCCGCGTCGTGTCATGTGTGGCGATAGAAGATTCCTAAATGCAACCTGCTTGTTTGTCAATGTCAGAAGTTCTAAGCTCAAGTCACAAGTATAGCATAGCAGGCGACAGTCGTCAGGGTCACCGTCGGTATCACTCAGCCAATAAAGATATACCCCTTACGCGGAACTTCCTTCCGTTCTGAGTACAGTCCGCTTTGACCGCTCCGGCCGGACGAAGCTCGCGGCCACCGCGATAGGCGGTGCTTCGGCCAGTCGTCTGCCATGGACGCCCCAAGCAGCGCCACGCCCGCAGCCCCGGGGCCCCTGACTTGCCCGGCCGGCAGCCCCCTGCTTCTGTTCCTGGCCGCCATGCTGCAGAGCATCAGTGTCAAGCGTGACGCGGAGCGCAGGCAGCGGGCGGAAGAGGGTGTGAAGTGACAACTCAGTTTTTTTTGTGCTCACGAACTTATCGTACAATTATGTTCGAAAAACTGCACACACCTCCCCACACCACAAGTGTCGTGAACGTCACTGTTGCAGGATGCCGCGCTCTTCCCGAATACGACTACGTGGTTGTCGGCGGAGGATCCTCAGGCTGCGTGCTGGCAGCGCGGTTGTCGGAAGACGAATCCGTTTCGGTCCTGTTACTGGAGCGGGGAGGCCACGAACCCGAAGAGGCTAGAGTGCCTGGCTACGCTGTCTTCAACATCAACAGTGCAATGGCGGAGTCATTAAAGGTCACTTTTTAGTAGATTTCTATTAATTCTGCAACGTTAAGGGAAGGTTCTGGTGAAAATGTTGCCATTTTCCAAATGGATCCCACTGTCATAATTTGTTCGGAATAAAATGTTTCTTTGGAGAGACTAAAATTTGACTTTGAAGGCACATCCCAGGTTCTGAACCCAGTCGAAGAGTCTTTTTGAGCCTATTTTGGCTGTATTCTAAAAAATCTTGCGCATACTATTAAGTCGTAAAAGGTTGACATTGACAGTTTTTACTTCTTCGATTCATTTTCAAAAGATTCCGGCATGCATAGCTGAAAATTTCCATTGCATTATTAATTGTAAGCTTTTAAAGCTGAAAAGTCCCTAAACTTTGTCTATTTTGTACATTTTCGGTCAATTATAGTGAAATGCTTGGTTAGAAAGCTTGCGAATAAAAATTTAATTTACATTTTGAGTTGTGCATGCCGGCATCTTTTAAACATTAATCGAAGAGGTGAAAAATGTCAAGGCCAACCTTTTATGACAAAATAGTATGCGCAAGAAGATTTTTAAAGTTATGGCCTAAGTAGGAGAAAAAAATTCTGCGACTGGGTTCAGGGCATAAATGTGCCTCGGCCTCCCCACTGAAAATTTTTAAAAATAACTTAAAAAGACGTCAAATTTTTTAACTAATTTTCACAGAGGGCCCTATTTAGGAGAAAATAGCATTTTCACCAGAACCTCCCCTTAACAAAGTCCTCAATCCTTGGTCATTTGGATGTTAAGCTGAAGATGTGCCGGTGAAAATTCTCAGAGTAACCTCATTTAAGAAAGGGCACTTTGTGCCACGACCCCCTCCGATCGTCCTGATATTTTGCGGGCGTGTCACCCATCTATATAACTTAACCTTTATAAAAAGACTTTAAGAGCCAAAACATTACGTCTGGTAAAAATTTATTGGCTGAGTTACAGCTCGGCAAACTTACACTTTCGGACTAAAAACATGAGTTTTGATATTTTGCTTACTGCAATCAAAATGCAAAATGCAATCAATTTTTGCACCAAGTGGCTGAGACCGAGGGGTGAATCGCTCAGCGTTCTGGTGTACACATGAGTACGGGTGAGTACACCTTGTTTTACTCATAAATTTCACATTTGTAAAATTTTAAGTCTTTATTTAACGATTTAAACGACACTCAACGTGAAGTCGGTCGAAAAATAGTGTATTTCGCCCTTTTTGGCCCGCCCTTCTATTCAAAAAATAGGGGGAGGGCCTATGCATTTGCCTTTGTGTCTGTGTGTTGTTGTTGTTGTTGTAGTTGTTGTTGTTGTTGGCGTCTGTGTACAAGGAAGGAGTTGAGCTAGAGTAACCAGATTTGGAGGGTACTTCAGGAGTACCGTCCAAACAAATAATCGGGTGGTGCAAATCCCGTCCGGGTCGCACAAGGGCTGCTGCAGGTGCATCATGGTTTACATGAGCGGGAGGGGGATTTCCGCCATTATTGGTGCTAGCAGGGCACATAGGGGTATTTTTGGAATCGGGGCGACGAGACAAGATGAATGGACCTGGTCCCGACCCCATCGGCCGCTTTTACGAGTTGGCCAGATCAGGATCTTCAAAAAAGGGGGTCGACCGACTAAAAAAAAATATTGCAGATTTCGATTGGTCTCAGCAAGACCTTTTCAACGAGGGGTCGGAAAGGGGGTCCAGGAGCCCGACTTCGTATATTAGTCACATCAGGATCTTGAAAAAAGGGGGTCGACCGACTGAAAATTTTTACTTAAGTTTTGGATAGGTCTTGGCAAGACCTCTTCAACGAGGGGTCGGAAGGGGGATCCAGGAGCCCGGCTTCATGAGTTATGGGAAAAAGTGCGACGGACTCGTTTTGCGCTCCTGCTGTGCCTCTATTGCAAGGAGTTGCAGTAGCATGGCAAATATGGGTATTTTCAGAATGAGGGCGAAGAGACAAATGTAATGGGCATATTCCAAGGACAGTTGGAGTAAAAAGTGTAAGGACTATTGCATATTGTGAATAGAAGGGCGGGCCTAAGTCACGATGGTACATCGATAACTGTGCTTTACCCGCTCACGGGGTGTGTGATGCGAGCGGGCCGAAGGCCCGGGCCTTCGACTGGCCAAGTTGGGTCTGATGCGAGGGCCGAAGGCCCGAGAAAAGGCCGCCGGCAGGCCAAGCTGGGCCGGCCCCCTGTCGAACCGAGTTGCCGGCGCAGCGAAGCGGAGCTGGCAACTCGGTTCGACGGAAGGGCGGGCCCTAGCTTGTTAAACTTGTGACCACACTGAGGACGGGCAAATTTGTACACATGAGTACACTTGTGGTTCACCCCTCGGCTGAGACACGAGTCCTCTCACGTAAAATTGTTTTCCCCGTTATGTCATGTGTGGCGATAGAAGTTTCCTAAATGCAACCTGCTTTTGTCAATGTCGAGGTGTCAGCAGTGCTAGAGCGCGTGCTTACAAATACTGCTCGGGGTAGAGCATATAATGTACGCTTTTCAATTTGTTGGCTGAGCGATAGCGAAGCCCTTGCCGTGTTTGGGCGCGCTGAAAAGTGACTGGTCGTGCGTCTGTCTGTCTGTCTGTGAGTCTGTTTGTACTCACCAACGATTCTCAGCAACTACAGTGGCTATAGTTTCAAGATTTCGTATTTAACGTCGCCTTAGTACCCTCCAACACGAGTTTGTTTCAAATCGTTGTTTAGTATCGTTTGAAATATTCAAAACATATTTTTGAATCAGGTTATTAGCATGGTTAGGTTGGCAGCACTCAGCACTCACCAATTTCTCATACCTGCGGCAGCGGCTCTCAAATACGGGACAGAAGCAAATAAGCAAATAAAACAAAATAACGAGCAGAAGGGTTTGGAAATGAGATCGGCCATAGTTTTTCAACATTCTAGAATGATAATAACCCTTTTGGAGTATCAACACAGCGAAATATGGAGAATGGAAGTGCAAATGATTTACGTCTTTCGTTCCCCTCGCCCCTCTCCCCCGTTAGAGGGGAATCTTCTTCAGGTCAGTGCACTTTGACAGAGCATTGTAAACAGAATGTTTTTATTTTCTCCTTTTGTATTGTGGGCATCTTCATATTTCATTTTCTATAGTGTCATCCTCTTTTTTAAATTTTCATACTAGAGGAAATCAGGGAAATGCATAAATAACTTGTGTTGAAATTAGGAGGCATACTTAGTTTGGACTCGAGAAATACATTCTTTTTCAAAACTGCAAGCTGACAAGAGTGCAAAAGTACTAACATGTGTTTATTAATAGAATCAATGTATGCTTGTGTGTATTGAGTTTGAATTGATATTGGGTTCAAAGAGACGACTCAGGTTTTGAGCGGTGAGTGAATTAGTGATTCGATTTAATGAGACAATTCTTTTAACATCACCGAAGTTAATATAACTGGTACTACTCAGTATTGTTTACATGAGTAAGAGAAATTATGTCGGTTCATTAAGTTTTGGGTAGCCTTGGCATTGGACTCTATGTGACGAACCACTGGATTTGACAATAATTGGTCCCCGTTGACTGGTTCAGATCAGCCTACCCTAAACTGCCACTCTCTTAATATTAACTGTGATAACATGTTCCAATCAATTTTGTTTTATTCACTGGTTCACAATGAAAGAATGGCAAAATGTTTCTTAAATATTACTTATAAAATTGTGAATTCATTAGTTAGGAAAAAAAGATATCGAATAGTAACCCAAGCATACAAGTAGCCAATTAAGCGATTCAATGCTGGCAATTGAATGTTACTCGACTGAGGGATTCGCATTGGTGTGGCATCAGGGAATTGGTGACGACAGAGGGTGCTTCATGAAGACAAATAGGAACAATATACAGAAAGAAATTTAGTCTAAAGTATTGTATGTAGTTTTCAGTGTACTAGTCACAAAAACTTCATTTATTTCAATGCCAATCCTACATTTTCATCTAGAGCTACGCAATTTTGGGCCAAACTTTCCAAGTTGAGATTTGTATGTTTCGCTGTAGTTTTCAGTGCGCTGACCTCAATATTGACATCTAAATTGTCCCCTGACCCAAACTTTTAACACCAGACCTATAATTTCATCCCATATTAGGTCATTTTGGACCAAAAATTTCAAGTCAAGGTTTATATTGTTTCCTGCAGTTTTTGATGTGCTGAACTTAAAAATGACTTCCAAAATTTTCTCAGACTCACACTTACCCAAATTTGGACCAATTTTGGAGCAGAATTTTTAAATCGAGTTTGACGTTGATCCCAGCAGTTTTTGGTGTGCTGATAACGAAAATCACTCCCATTTCGACTTCAGACTTATATTTTCATCCCAAATTAGGTCATTTTGGACCAAAATTTTCAAGTCGAGTTTTATATGGTTTCCTGCAGATTTTGGTGTGCTGAACTCAAAAATGACCTCCAAACTTTTCCCAGACTCACATTTAACCGAATTTTGACCAATTTTGGACCAAAATTTTTATATTGAGTTTGACTTTGATCCCAGCAGTTTTTGGTGTTCTGATAACGAAAATCACTTCCACTTGTGCCCCTGGTCTAAAGTTCACTCAATATGAGCCCATCATTGCACATTTCGTCTACTCAAGCAAAGTCCAAAGTGCACAAACTATGTCAATTCGCATCGCTCAGCCACACTACGCGCCCAGACTAAACGGCGCGTACCCCTAGTAGTGCACCAAGGCACACATGGCCAAGTACACACTTTCCAATGCATGCTTTGCAAGTAAACACAAATGTGTAAGTGTGTCCATAACAAGCATGCATTTGTAAATGTGTACTTAGCCAAGTTCGCTTTCATGTGAGTTGAAAGTAATGTTTTGTGTTGAAGGCTGAACCGGAGCCCCACAACTGCAACGCCACAGGCTGCGTCCTCAACGTCCCGACGGTGCTCGGAGGTGGCAGCACCATCAACGGGATGCTCTACGTCCGGGGCAGCGGCGAGGACTACGACGAGTGGGCCAGGCTCACAGGAGACCGCGGATGGGCATTCAACAACGTGTTGCGTTACTTCAAGAAATCTGAAGACAATCTTGACTCTCCGATCAACAGGGACATGAGTAGGTATTTGATCCAGGAAGCGGAAGAAGGGAATAACTTGACTTATCCCCAAATTGAGTTTTTATTTTATTATTGTGCCTTAGAATGGTTTACATCATTACACCAAATTATTTGACTGAATTCCAAGCAGTTTAGGAGAAAATCCACATGGAAAAAGGGTATAACTCAACTTAACCCCTTTTACAGTCTAAATTTCATTGGAAAATGGAGATAACTCAACCTTAGTCTACATGAGTCCGTTTGACAAATTGGCAAAAAGATATAACTCAACTTGTGTTTTTAAGAATCTAGTGTAGAAAGAATCAACTCAACTTAACCCCCCCTTAATTTTAAATTTCAATTTGGAAAAAAGAGCTAAGTCCAAAAAATACGATTTCAAGAAATCCTAGGAGTCACGAAGTCAATTTGGGTAGGAGAGTGGGGAAAGCAAAAAAGTTATGTAAAAGGTAGGGCGTGGCTCAAGGGTGGCTACGAACGGCGGCAGTGGTACCAATGTGGTCGTGCCACCCGTCAAAATTTAACCTTGGCAATAAAGAGAAATCAAAATGCCGGGAAATTCGAAAAATTCCAATGCTAATGTATTCCACAGTGATCTGACAAAGGAACATCTTTGAAGTCCATCATTATGAAAATTTTGGTAGCAGAAAGAAGGCAGTAAATTAATTTTCGCGGGTTGGCAACAATTTTGTCGGCGTCTGCGCCCTTGCGAAAATCGCGAAGCCGAAAACACGAGTATAGTCGCGCATTAAAACCGCCCCTCCATTGTTGCTGACGTTGAATTGTTTGGCTTGTTTCAAAAGGCTACGGTTCTCTAGTCATGTTTTCTTCAATTCTGTGTAATAGTTCTCACTCACAACGTAGCAACACCACGACGGTTGGCTTGACAAACTTTATAAACTCGAGAGGGATGGTCTCGAAACACGGGTGAGTCTTGTTCGAGGAACATGAGCACTGAAAGTCGCGAGGTGGAGCGAAGTGATCATGGTGCTAACTGAATCAGAAGTACCATCAAACCTGGCTAAAAGGAGCAGCTACATGACCAGCTTATTCAAAAAAGAGACTAAAAGTCTTAAAGCGACTCTTAAACTACATTAAGGAAAGATAATTCACAGATGCATGTGCACAGGTACGCAGTTAAATGGCTCAATTCACTCCAATTTGAAGAGTAACAAAAATTTTCAACAAAACAACAACAAAAACAACGACGCAGCGGTGCGGGATTGGTGCGGGACACTCTCATAAAAAAGTCAGTGGCCGGCCGGCCGATCCAAATGGCCACGTTCGAAACGACACCAATTCTATTGTTGCATCTTGTCTACCTGCAGTCAAAGAAATTTTTCATTTCGAACGTGCTATTTCAGCTTTTGGAGTAAGCTGTACAGACCCAAAAAGAAGCTCCGCTATTGGTCCGGCTCGGCTCGGCTCCCCCCACTACCTTCTTTTTCCTTTGACGAGTCGAGTTTTGCCATGGAAACGGCGATTTTGACAGGAAATTTCTCAAAATTGGCCACCAAATTTTTAACCAGATTTCAGCATCAGAATCAGCGTTCAAAGTTCTACAAGTCTGCAAAATCTCATTAAAATCGTATAGAAAATTTCCGAAATGCATAAAGGGCCACACAAATCGAATCTCGGGCCGGCTGAATCCTGGGTATACTATAAGGCTACTTCGTGCCTAAAAATACACCAGAGTAACATACACTTTATGCAGACTATTGTTCCACTTGACTTGTCTCCAAATTCCTCTTTGTTTAGGAAATATAAGGTGAGCTGACTCTGTTTTCCATTTCAACGGAAAGTGATAAGTCGCAGAAATCCTCTACGGAGTGACCTTACACTTTTGATTTTTTTCCAAAATTTTACTAATGCTTTTTGAAATTATTAACATTTGCAACATTCATTTGTTTTGTTTTACTTTTCCCCGCTAACAGTTCTGTTTCTCCTGAAAAATGGCCAAAATTGAGTTATCCCCTTCTTCCGCTTCCTGGATCATTTGAAAGCTGAGAATTAACTTTTCGTGCCCGTTATGAAATGTTAAATTCTTTAAAACCTGAACCCTGTCACGCGTCTGATTTGTTTTAATGTTAACGTTTATGGTCGGCCTTGCGAAGAAAAGTAGCTTGTCAGAACAATGTATATTTTAGCATACATGAGCTTACAAAGTAAATACTACTTTATTCACGAACTATTTCTTCGTAAACTAACCTGTACTGCACTACAAAACTAACTGTCTACTATTTCTTCGTAAACTAATCTGTACTACACTACAAAACTAGCTGTCTACTAAGTACACACTTACAAATGCATGCTTGGCAAGTACACACAAACGTATGCTTGGCGCCGTATAATTCCACGCTAAGCATAGGCGTTTGTAAGTGTGTACTTAGTAGACAGTTAGGTTTGTTTAGTGTATGCATGCTTGCTCATTATACTTTGTACGCTTTTAAGCGTGTGCAGTTCGGCTGACAGAATGATGATTGCCTTCGACGCAGGGTACCACGGCCGCGGCGGTCCGCAGAAGGTGTCCTGGCAGCCCTACCGCCACCCCGTGATGCCGCTGCTGGCCCAGGCCTTGGAGGCCGCGGGCGTCCGGCCCCGCCTGGACATCAACGCCGAGGCCCAGCTGGGCTACTCGGTGGTGCAGACGACGTCGGCCGGTGGCAGGCGCTGGACCACGTTCAACAGCTACATCGAGCCGGTGCTGCGCAGGCGGAACCTTCACGTGGAGACTTTCGCCACGGCCAGGAAGGTTGTCCTGCAGAACGCGGCCCGCGGCAAGCTCAAGGCGGTAGGAGTGGAGTTCGAGGACGCTGCCGGCACGGTGAGTTTGCTGGTGACGATACACTGGTATTCGTCGGTGCATCGAATGTGACGTCTTACGCGTCAGAATGTGAACTTTGTCATACGTCCTTAATAAGATGCCTCAATCGTTTGAACGTGGATCAACAATCAATCGAATGTCATATCATTTTCAAACGAACGTGACAAGGCCCACATTCACTCCAACTCCAAAGGTGATACTATTAGTACCTTTTTTGGCGATACGATAGAGTACCGCCAACAAAGGGCCATACACAAAAACTTTGCCTTCGAAGAGGCGATAAACAAAAGAATCGCCGAAAATCAGCGGTACTTCGGAGTATTCCCAAAATTTGGCCATTAATTTTCCAAAACTCGAGAGAACTGATTAACTTTATAGCCAAATTTTGGCAATACTCTAATGTATCGCCATCAACTGTTTTGTATAGCCGCTTTGAAGGCTAGATTTTCGGTATCACCGTTTGTTGAACATTTCAAATCTACAATTGTATTGTTTAAAAGCCAGGGACAATTATGTGTACATTTGGTAACGCTTTAAATCGTTTCCACTTTGGTTCCTGTAGTTTGCCGAAAGGAATTTTTACGTCCGATTACGAACAAAGCAGTGCATAGGCATTCACAATAATTGTTCTGAGCCTGTAATGGACATCTGAATTGTTCCTGATTCTGTGAACAAATAAATGTCCTTGGATATCTAGTGTGCACTCCTCGTGTGCGATTGTATTGCCGAAAAATATACTCAAGGATCGCCAGTAGGTTTGGAGTGTTCTAAAATATGACGTAATTAGTTGTAAAACCGTGAAATAATTCTCATGGCAATACTGAACTTTAAATGATAAAACGCCGAAAATTCAGACCAATTTTTGGTAGGTTGGCCTGAACGGCCTCTGAACTTGCGGTTTTCAACTCTGCACAGGTCCACGTGGTGCGAGCGAGGAGGGAAGTGGTGCTAACAGCCGGGGCCATCCACACCCCGCAACTCCTCATGCTTTCTGGCATAGGCCCGGCTGGGCAGCTCAAGGTCTAGTATTTTTTTAGTTTATTCGGATGGCAATTTCTAAATTTTCCTGATGAGGGACTATTTCTGATTGGTTTGAGTTTCGATGGTGTCAGGATTACCCTGTTATTTCGAGTGTAAGCCAGTTGACTGAGAAAGTTGCTTCAGCTACTGTGAGTCTAAACCCAACGAACGGAGCGGAATGCATCCAAACGTCACACTCCACACGGTAAAAGACGGAACCTGGTTTTCCCAGGAAGCCAATGGTGAAGGCATAGGCGATTTCCAGGGAGTTCCTGGGAAAACCAGGAGACGTTTTTACCGTGCAAGTGTCGTGAACAAAGCCATAACGAAACTTTCGTCCGAAGCATCCCGAAAACGCTCTTGCTAATGCATGGGTAGGCATTGCACTACTGGTGCGATGAATAAGAGTTCAAATTCATATGGCACCATAGTTAAAGCTTTCCTCATAGCGTTTGGGTTCTCAGTGTGGATCTTGCATTTTCAAAGTTTTAACCAAGACACTGTAAAAAATTCCGTACTTTTGTACGGAAATGGTACAGAAAAATATAGTACGGAGGTACGGAGAAAAGTACGGAACGTTCCGTACTTGTTCCATATGAACCCATGTAAATGGGTAGGGTAAACTATACAGTTATCGGCAGGGGTACAGTTATCGTCATGTCGGCGAATAATTGGGTCCTGCTCTGCAAGTACGCGTCCGTTAGTGATGCGGCCAATGCAGATCGCTAGAGACACCTTTTGAGCATGCAGGAACGAGAAAGCATCGCGTTTGATTGAGCATGTCAGCCAACAGAGCCACGTTTCTTGTCAAGTGCAGAATGAAGCTGCTTCGGCCGCCTGTTCTTATCTTCTCTGCCAGGAACAGGGGTTCAATCTTTCGTTAAATTCGTGAATATGGGCCGGAAAAAACTATTCCCTTTGTCAGGTTCCGTCTCCCCATCTATTGAAGAGGGCATACTGTGCTTGGTGCACAGAAATTCCTCTTGCTTGCCCTCATTCGGGGGGTGCCGATAACTGCACCAGAGAAATCACCCAAATACAGTTATCGTCAGGGTGGCCTCAGACTTAACTGGTGTTTCGGGCGTCGTCCGGGAGTTAATATTCTGATGCATTATGACCATAGGAAGACCCCTGCCAAATTTGAATGAAATCGGACCACTTTTTCCCAGTGATCTACGTGATTTACGAAATGTCCTCCTCCGCGCTTTGAAAGGTTGTTTTTTCGCAGCACATGGTGCTAGTTGTCCGTGAGTCTAAAGTAAAGGGCGCAAGAGGCATGACAGAAGAGAGAGGGGGTTCGTGACATGTCGAGGGGTGATATAGAGTGTCTGTGACGACTGTTAGAAATTTTCGTCACTTTCGGTCATGTTTTGCCTTTTTAACAAGGGGTGCCGATAACTGTCATAAAGGGTGCCGATAACTGTATTTTGGCTGCCGATAACTGTGTTTTGGTAACCTTTTTCTCAGGTCAAATAAGAGCGTCACAAACAATTTTTGGTGAAATCTTTGTCAGCCACTTCGTTGTCTAGATCCTTCTGAGGTGTCTGGAACAAGTCGCACGGGTCTAAGTGTCATAACCTACCCTAGAGGCCCTTGAAAAGAAAGCGATGCTCTTAAACTGACGGTAACTGTATAGTTTACCCTACGGAAAAAAAGTACGGAACGTTCCGTAGTTGGCAAGTACGGACGGTCCAGGCAAATTATTGACCAGACATGTTCCGTACTTTTTTCGTACTCTTTTCTCACAGTGGATGGAGATTGACACCTGGAAAGGTTCCATAACAGTGCAGTGTGTTTCTGAAGGCGCTGGGCATCCCCGTCCTCAAAGACCTCCCGGTGGGCGAAGAGCTGCTGGACCACGCCGACGTCGTGGGCGTGCCCTACAAGTGTGAGCCGCCGCTCTGCACCACGGACTGGCAGAGCCGCCTCGCCGATCTCCGGCAGTACCGGCAGAACCGCACAGGGCCCCTCTCCGCCTTGAACGTCCTGCACCTCAACGTTTTCGCTAGGAGCTCGCTGGCCGAGCCGGGGACGGGCCTGGCCCCGGATCTGCAGATTATGTTCCTTGCGCGCACTGTGGACGAATACGAGACGTAAGTTGCTTCACTATTTCTCTTCTTGTGCGCGTTGAGAAAACCTTGTTGCAGAAATGCATAGAGTTTAGCGGGCGCATTTCTCTACATTAACCCCTTCTTAACAGTCGCAGATCCAGCGTCTAGTCTGAACATCAGATTGCAATTTTCACTTCAAGATACTACAATTTTGCGATAGCGTCTGCTAAGAAAAAGCAGTTTTAAAATCAGAGCAAAATTTTACAGTAGCTTATTTTAAAGAAGAAAAAAAATACTGCCACTTTAGGTTCAATACATTGTACGAATTTCAACAATAGTGTTACTTATTTGAAATAAAAGCGCCGCAAAGAGAAGGACAAAGTTGCCAGAGAGTCTCGTTCACACGGGTGCTGTTGTCATCGCAGGTGCCTGCCGTACGACTCGTGGCGAATCAACAGGGTCATCCCTTTGGTGTCCCTCATGCGGCCCTACAGCGTGGGCTGGCTGCGCCTCAACGCGTCCAACCCTCGCGGGCTGCCCCTGGTGAAGCTCAACTACTTCGGGGACCCCGCGGGCCACGACCTTGCCGTCACAGTGGAGGCGCTGAGGATGGGCCTGCGGCTGCGGGATGCTCTCGCCCCGCTGGGCCTCACTCTGGACACCAGCTCGTTCACCCAGTGTGCGTAAGTTTCGCGACAGTTCAGACGTTGAGGTGGTACCGATTAGTTTGTATTGCGTATGCTCAAAATACCTCGTAAGGTTCCAAGCGTGCAAAGCACTTTTCATGACGGATCCCGTACGCAAGAGTGACAGAGCTCACTACAAATCCAAAGGTCAGACTTCTCGCCACTCCAGAGGCAAGACATAAAAGTTTCGCCAAGTTTTGGTCAGATCTAAAAGTCTCGCCAAAATTTGGTCAGACACAAAATTCTCACCACAAAATGGCGAGACTTTTGTGTCTGACCGTTTTGTGGCGAGACTTTTTTGTCTGACCAAATTTTGGCGAGACTTTCAGGTCTGACCGAAACTTGGCGAGACTTAAATGTATCGCCATATTTTGGCGCGAAGTCTTTCCATCCAATTTGCAGTGAGCGTCGAAAACGGCTCTCTGGGTCAGCTCACTGCTTGCTAGCATCTGTCTCTGATTGATGTTTTCTGCTCCGACGGGCGTGCGCCGCAGGGCGGAGGGCGCCGTGGACTCGGACGCGTTCCTGCGCTGCGTGGCGCGCACGCGCACGTCCACCTCCTGGCACTGGAGCGGCACGTGCCGCATGGGCCGCGCCCGCGACCCGCGCGCCGTCCTGGACTCGCGCCTGCGCGTCAGAGGGGTGGCCAGCCTGCGCGTGGCCGACGCGTCCGCCATGCCCTTCATCCCCAGCGGCAACACCAACAACCCCACCATCATGCTGGCCGAGCGCGCCGCCGACATCATCAAGCGCGACAGGAAGGCGCTGTGCCCCTGGTGCTGAGCTGCCGACTCAGTCACCGCCAACAGTGTCAAAGTTCGTCACTTTATGAAATTGACATCAAGTGGCGACTCAAATTTTCACAGTGAATGAGACCACATTTATTATATATTATAATACACATGATAATCAATAAAGGGGGCATTGCAAGAAAAATAACTATTTTCAACTCAGTTTATCTCAATTTTAGAGGGCACCCTCTGGGTGCAAACAGGGCGAAACTGGCACCATTCACTGAGATTCCACGCTACGAATATTAGGGGCAGGGCGGGGAAAAACTGGACGCTTTGCAATCTTTCCCGATTTTGACTCTAATTGACTATACTTAGGCACAGTATCCGTTAGGTCTGTTGATCCAGCCTCAAAGAAAGACATTTCAACCCTCGTTGAGCGTGTTTCCGGCTTCATTCAGAAATAAACAAGACACAGAGTGCGATTCTTCCCCGTCGAAACTGGGAAAAATCGAACACCCAAGGGGAAAAATCGCAGACAGGCTTTAATTTAACAAGAACCTATGAAACTAGGTCAAAAATCTCTTGGGAACGGTTTCCGGGGGTAAGACTTGCGATACGCACAGAAGCAGGCGCACGGGCATTCATAGGAAGACAGAAATCCTCTTAGCATTGTCCGTGGCGAAACGTTCTTGAGGTTAAATGACCGAAATGCATGAAATCGTTAACAGCCGTGCTTGTATTCCCACTAAATGTTGTGAAATGTTAAAGTGCACTTGATCCAGGAAGCGGAAGAAGGGTATAAGTCGAATTGAATCCGTGCACTTTTGCGAGGCCTAAACCTTGCAGGTGGGAGAACAGGTGGGGAATGTCATCCAAAAATAGATGCAAGAGGATGGGACTTGTCTCATCACACTTATTTTTGAACCAAATTTTCGCTCATGTTTACTTGATAGACTGACAAGAGGTCACTGAATCAACTCGACTTAACCCCTTCTTCCGCTTCCCGAATCACTTGTTACGGCCACTTAGGTTAAATGTTTAGGTAAATCGTTGATTTTTATAGAAAACAGGGGTGTTCGATTTTTCCCCACTCTAGTGTACGGTTTTTCCCCGGTTCGTATTTAACCCTTTATTCGTAATCCAATCGCGTATCTGCTAAAAAAATTGAACGTATCTTGGGCTCCACACTTCCAACTCTCGTTTACGATAAGAACGTTCGTCACAGTACGCTCGGAAAGTCGTTTTAAAGAGATTTTGCGGGCAGGAAAGTTTCAAGTTTTGAGTGGTCTTTAAGTTTCATCGTAATAAGAGTTTTTAAAAAATTTGCAAGTTTCACTAGGGTCCCCTTTAAAACAAAAGAAATGTGCATAAAGAAAACGTTTTAGTATGGGCTGACGTGGTAGTACGATAAATTATTAGATAACGTATCTGAAAGACTGAAATTATTTATTCTGAGTAACGAGTTTTAAATCACCTCAACAAAGTAAAACACAGCTCTGACATGTGAGCAAGTAGAATGCGATTGCGCATACATTTTACAAAGGAAAAGAACCATTAACGAAATGCACATGGAAAAACGCAATCGAAGTGGAGGGCTGGAACATACAGTAGATAAGAGGAAAAGGAGAAGAGGAATAAAGGAGATAAACTTTGGAAAACTCTTAATGTCAGGCATTCGTACTGGTCGGAGAGGTTCTGTTGCCAGCGCCAGTTCCGCTTTTCCTCTTCCTCTTGTTCTTCGGTCGGCGACGACTCAAATGCTGTGTTCGCTCAGCACAGTGCATTAGCTTTTCGGGTAATGTATATATAAGTAAAGCTTTATTCCTTTTATTCGAAATGGCTTCACAGTTTTGTGTTTGACAATGTTGTCTGGGGCTAGCTTTGAGGCGCCTCCACGGTCTGTACAATCCACTGTCGCAGGATGGGGTTGGCGAGGTTGGAGTAGAGGCCGGGGTATCCCACGTCGCCGCAGCCGACGCCCCAGGACACGATGCCCACCTGCACCTGCTGGTCGTCCACGACTGGCCCGCCCGAGTCACCCTGGAAAGGAAACACTCCGGTCATCTTCGAACCACCGTCAACAGTCTACAAAAAATGTCCTGTCAACGCCGTTAATTTATTACCAATTTTTGCTGTTATGCAATTCACGGCGTTTGCTGTGATCTAGTTCACGGCGTTCACTGTGATCTCGGTTACAGTGTTCACTGTGATCTGGCTACAGTAAACGCCGTGAATTGGAGCCTGATTTGCAGCACTTCGGTGCTCAGCGGCGTCAAACTCACAGTGTTTACTGTGAACCAGATCACAGTGAACACCGTGAACAAGATCACAGTGAATCGCGTGAGCAGATCACAGTAAACGCTGTGAATTGACCTACAGTGAAAACTGGTAATAAATTAACGGCATTGACAGGACATTTTTGGTAGAGTGAACGGGGGTAACTTGGTACACTTTTCCACGTTTTTTAACGCCAGAGACAAGATTGTCGACCCTGACCATTGGACCCTTACTATGTTGTACTTAGTTTAACCTTTCCTTCACGAATTCATGCCAGTCTGGTTCATTTGCCTGGATTATGCCGTTTATGGATGGCCCCGAAAGGGTGTCCCATCTGATCTCGCTTTGTCAAAGCACATTTGATTGACATGGACCTCGTACCTTGCAAGAGTCTTTGCCGCCGAAACCTGCGCAAATCATGGTGTCGTCAACCAGCAGGTTCCTTGTTGCGTACAGGCCTTTGCACACTTCCAGAGGTAGATTCGGCAGCATCACAGCGAGTAAGTGGTCAGGTGCGTCGGGGTTGTTTATCTAAATGCGCGAAAAAAAATGAAGTTACTTATACATTTTCGCAGAGAAGACTTAGGCCGCAATCGGTCGGAATATGAGGGTTTAGGAGCGAGCGCCCAAAAGCCAGCAGTAATCCAAAATTATTCAGCTAATTTACTTAAAAGAAAACCTAGGGGAATTTCATTACCGAAAATGCTCAACCGACGATTACCTTTCCCACCTACTACGACCATTACATCTTCTACTAAATACAACGCACCTTGAATTATTAACTGCAATAGGCTCTAAAATAGACTTACTAGCGTATTTCAAACGTTGTAGGTTTTTGAAATTCAAACATGCGTTCCTCTTATTTGGAGTTGTTGTAGTTTTAGAAATCTTTGTTTGTTAAGACAGAAAAACTTGAAAAAAAAGGAACTTTATGACAAGAAAAGCAAGAACTATTCACTAAATTTTCCTGTCCACAGCTTATTTAACAACTACAGTGAATTACCCCTCGATGAAAACTGTTCTAGGCTTGCGTATATTGATGCACTGAAAATGCAACGGCGATACTAAAGTACATTTTTTGGCGATACAATTGAGTATCGCCAATAAACGGCCTTACGGAAAAGTATTGCCTTCAGAACGGCAATACAAAAAAGTATCGCCAAAAGTTGGCAATACTTTTGGATATTGCTTAAGCCACGGCATTTAACCAAGGTCTTCTCCCCTTGATTTGTTCGACGTTTATTGCCAAATTGTGGCAATACCCCAAAATATTGCCAAATTTTGGCAATACTTTAGTGTATCGCCGTTTTGAAGGCAATGCTTTTCCGTAAGGCCGTTTATTGGCGATACTCAATTGTATCGCCTAAAAAGGTACTAAAAGTATTGCCTTTGGACTTACAGTGTGGACGCCCGAAAGTTACAACTGATGCAAAGGCTGGTAAAGGACTGTACGTATAGTAGTAGACTGCAAGTAGATCAACTTGATAAATTTTGTAAGACCGAAGTGAAAAGTTCAATAATCAGTATGTCCTTATGTCCTCGGATTTTAGCCATGACTTTTCTGTTATACACCTCTTTAACGAGACTTTTTATTCACGAAGCCACGCTGATAAAATGAGAAGGTCCCGCCGGATGACAGAGTACACTGCAAGAAATGCCCACAGCAAAAGTACACAAATTTCTGGTAATTTTTTAAAGAATTTAATGTACACTTCTAGTACAACAATTGTTGTACAAAGTACAATGGAACCGGCATGACGAGTGCTGTGCAGTCCAGGCCTCGTACTTCCTACAATCCCTGTCGTACTTTCTACAATCCCTGTTGTACTTTTGTTGTACTATCGACACTTTTTCTTGCGGTGTAATGCCCGGACAGTGGAAAAAGATGATGGCCTCTCACCGCTAGACGTCCCCATCCACTGATAGTGAGAAGCTGGCCGGGCGTCAGGGACTTGCCGGCGGCCACTAGTCTAGTGGGGCGCGCCGAGACCTTGTTCAGGACCAACGGAGTGTCGACCTTCAAGAGGCCGACGTCGTAGACGTAGGTGCGGATGTTGAACTGTGGGTGCGTAGCCGCCCACGCCAAGCCCACCTCCTGGCCGCCGGAGGATTGTGAGGTTGAACCCACACGGATCTTCACTGACGCCAAATCCCCGTGCAAGCTGCAGACAAAGTGTAGGGTGCAATCCTAATTCAAGACGGCAGAATATGTGGTTGCCCGAAGTCAGGCAACCAATTTAAAATCAAATTAGATTTCTACAAAAACAGTCCATAAGATAAAAAATCAATTGTGGGTCACGAATCAATTACACACTAAATGTCATGGGACTTTTTCTTGTCCCACGGTTTATGCAATTTTAAGCACATCCGACGCTGATACAATTTTGTTCCCGTCTGGTGACACATTTTGTCCGGCGCCAGCTGCAACTTGTACTTTCACTAGACAATTTGTCCCGCCTGGCGGACACAAAATTGCATCACCACCGGATGTGCTTAAAATTGCATAAACTGTGGGACAAAAAAAGTCCCATGACATTTAGTGTGTATGGGCCGCTTTGTTTGACAGGCCGCTGCAAATCCATGAATGAGCGAATCGATTTAAAATGCGGTATGGGTCTTCCAACGATCTTCTTTTGTCACGAAACAGCGTCGATGTCTGCGCCACGACCACAACGCCAGCTATCGGGCAGCTAGGAGAGACCTTCAAAATTCAACATAAAATTGGGCCAATCCGAGGGCAGGCAAGAGAAAAGACGGAAAGGGATATTTTTCAAACATTTTCGAACAGTCGAATTATGGAATGGAGAGGGATGCCCTGCCGCTTTTAGTGTATAATAGGTGAAAGACTCAAAGTCAACCCCAGTTTGGCAAAAGTTGTACGAGGCTTGGCGGGCGGGAAACTCGAAAAATTGTTGAGCCACAGTTGGTTCCAAAAATCAGCCTGTTTTTCAAACGGCCATAGGTCAGTAAATGAGGGTGACAGATGGTGCTGCTATGCTGCTAAACGTAGGGAAGGGATCACATTTGGACGTTTCAAAGCTATTTTGGCTACTTGTTCAAAACTAACATTTTAACTATGCATTGTTGAAAAAAGTGACCCACGATTGATTAATATTACCTTATCAGGAACTGCCTGAAAGTTTGGCATGGACACCTAAAAAGATTCATTGGTGTAATCAACTTCATGCGATAAGCTAACATCAACAATCTTCTATGTAACCCAAGGAAAACATTTCCTAAAACGTAACCATACAGACATAAATATTACATACAAACTTCAGTATGGTTTTAGTGGAGGTTATCCTGCAGGGCAGGTATATGGATGAATGAAGGTTATGAAGAGAATTTTTTCATCTTCAAGACGCCGCGATCGCCAGAAACCTCACTGGTAAAACTACACACTAAATGTCATGGGACTTTTTTTTGTCCCACGGTTTAGGCAATTTTAAGCACATCCGGTGGTGATGCAATTTTGTGTCCGTCAGGCGGGACAAATTGTCTAGTGAAAGTACAAGTTGCAGCTGGCGCCGGACAAAATGTGTCACCAGACGGGAACAAAATTGTATCAGCGTCGGATGTGCTTAAAATTGCATAAACCGTGGGACAAAAAAAGTCTCATGACATTTAGTGTGTAAAGCGTAACTCTACACTCTAAAAAAAGTTACAGAATTTTGTATCATTTTTTTGATGCAGGATTTTGTATCACCTGCATTGGTTACAAATATTTGTATAAGTGATATAGAATTTTGTATCAGATGTGCCGGTTACAGAAAAATGAATCCTTTTGGAGCTTGATACAGAAATTTGTTACATGAAGGTTACAATATTATGTTTGTAACATAACTGATACAGAAAAATTGTAACTGCATACTAAATTCTGTATCAGATATTAAAACATAATGTTTAACGGTAAAATTGAACAGCAGTGCCCATAGAGACAAGTTAAACTTAGAGTTTTCATGTGCTTTTATTTTTCCCGACTCGGAATAAGAGATTCAGTCTCGTGTATGCTTGGCTGGCAAGGCCTCCGTCCCTTACCACGCGCGCCTCAGGTCACCGGCTACCCACGCCGCTCCCTCCACGGCGTCCGCACAGTGCAGTTGGTAGCGTGGCGGGCCGCCAACCCAGAGTTTGGGGTTCGATTCCCGACTTCTCAGAGTACATTTGGGAAAGTTGTGACTCGAAGGATATAAGGACCTTCAATCAGACCCACGGAGACTACGTTCGAACAAAATTCTCATTTTGAAGCTTGATTTGGAAGAATAACGACTGTTTACAAACTTTGTAACCGTTACGAAATTCTGTAACCAAGTTACAAAGAAAAAAATTGTATCCATCGTGATACAAATATCTGTAACACATGTTATTGAAAAAGCTGCGTAACCATGTTACAAAATTCTGTACTGATTTTTTTTAGAGTGTATGCTTAAGTCAAGGATAAAGTTACGCATGAAGACGTGGCGCTTGAATTGAAGCATACTTTGTATATTGCACCATGCATTGAGATAGGAGATATCTTAGCGGAAGAGCCTGTTACGCTTGATTTCAAGCGTAAACTGATTACGCTGAAAAAGAGAGGGTCATACTATACTTAAGTTTCACCAGTGTGGCGTGCGTGTGCTTCCGTTCCAGATTGTCGCAACCTGACCTGTAGCTCTTATTTGAAGCTAACGGTGCAGTCACCTGCTGAACGCTTGTATTTCTAAAGCTAGACAGTCATAAAGTTTATTGACAGTTTCTAAGGACTTCTGACAAGAATCTGCAGATGACTTATTACCGTTCGCCGCCATTGAAAGTTAAGAGGACTTCGCATCCACCGATTGCCCCCAAGGTCTCAGCAATATAGATGTAGGGCAATCGCAGGGCGATCTTAAGCAGTGTCATCACACTGATAATGGGCAACTGGTGGCCGTCGACAGGATTAAATGGAGGTGCGAAGAGGCAGACAAAAGAACGCTTAGAGTTGGAGACAACGTGCTGACCAGTTTCCAGTGATTCAGGCACAAAATAAGAGAAGTTGCTCGTACAAACAGCTCCCAGTTCAGTTTTCGAGGTTTTCGCCGAGGGGGTAAACACTTCACGAAATCGTGTACAGACTACTCGGTATTACGCTGTATTACGGGTGTATTACACGTGTATTACGGCCCTCAAATGCCAAAATTTGGCTCATTTGACCCAAAAATGGTATTACGATCACGTGTATTACGCGTAATACACGGTTTTTGTGTACAGGGTATTACGCGAGTGGTTACCCCCTCGGTTTTCGCTCAGAGGAACACGGGTAACCTTTTCGCCGATTTTCTTTTCAGTAGACATCTGAAACCGCAGTCACCTGAGACAAAACGTACACTGTTTCACATTTATCTGTTAAAACTTACTCGTAGACGCAGTGTCCAGCAGTCAGTATCCAATGCTCGCTCAAGATGGACCCACCGCAATATATGACGTCATCTCTCCGTAGCGAGACCTGAAGCAGATTCTCATGTAGCATGTGCTACCCAACATGGTTGAGTGCCCACGAGGACCCAAACACAGTCAACAACAATACATCCACGCAAGGACCAGATTTAAAGAGGGAGGGTCTGCGAAGTGTCTTTGAAAACACCCGAAACCCAAGGGTGGTAAAATTACCCCTTTGGAGGGCAGTAAAATTGCTACGGGCGGAATCTATTTCTGAGTTACAAAGAATTACCGCCAATTTAAGGCAGGAAATTTACCACCTTCGACAGTTGTATCGCCTTAAATGTTCTGTTGAAGGGAAATTTCCGTAAAAACGGTACCTAGTTTTCCAAGGAAGCTATGGTAAAGACATAGGCGATTTCCAGGGGGTTCCTTGAAACACCAGGAACCATTTTTACCGAGAGTACAGCTGTGAAAGGTAGTAAATTTACCGCCTTTACAGTATAGGTATTCTTTTAAGACCCGTTGGAGAGGCGGAAAAAAATAGATTCCGCTCGTAGATGGTGGTGATTGTTTTACTGCCTTCGTAAGACTATGTGTACCGACTTTTGATTCTGGGTGATAGGAGCGAAATAACAGAAAGTGAAGAGGTGCAAGAAAGTAAATGAATCCCCGCATTCCTGGTTAATTTGGAACCTCCATCGATGCTGACTCGGTTTGTGTGTAGGTGTAGCTTAGCTTGCATTAAAAACCTTGGAGTACATGGCTGAGACTATGCACTGCTAGAAATAACCACGACAAAAGTACACAAATTTCTGGCAAATTGTTTTATCAGGTATTCATTGTACTTTTAATGAACAACAATTGTTGTACAAAGTACAATGGAATCGGCATGACGAGTGCTGTGCTGTCCAGGCCTCGTTGTGGTTTGAACAGTTTTCGTTGTGCTTTCAACAATCCCTGTTGTACTTTTATTGTACAGTTTTTGTTCTACTTTTGTTGTACTATCCACTATCCACACTTCTTCTCGCAGTGTGTGTACGCATATGAACATGGGATTTCTCATAATTGAAAGATACATCCAGTAATTTAACGATATAAGGAGGGGTGGGCGGTCATTTCCACGAACAAATCTCCGAACAGGGTGCATCGCTTCGGTCAGCAAACCAAAGACGACTCATGAACGACGCAGCATCCTGTTGTATTACAAGTGAACACAGTGCAGTTGTATTGGGAAACTATTCTGTAGGATTACTATACCCTATACGCACGAGGGAGCAACCACGCGCGAAGTCCTCGCGAAATCCCTTCGTAGTCTGGTGAAATCTCGTGAAAACCCACCAAATCTGGTGAAATCATGCGAAATAACACCATAACGTAGCGATATCTTGCAAAATTTTGACGCAAAAGCCTGCGAAATCTGGACGAAATCCCTTCAGAGAATCGTATGTACAAAAAATTTTCAAGTGGTTGCCACCTTGACCACGCAGCATCCACGTCGAATCCACGTAACTTAAGTGGAGTGGGTGGATTAGCACTTTCCTACTTCAAATCCAAGTGACTAACGTTGATTTACATCGATTTAATCGTGTACAGTGGTCTATAGCAAATCAACGTCGACTCTACGTGCATTTTTTAACGATTTTGATGGACGCTGTGTCTACGTCGATAATACGGTGACTTTGTGACGAGTATCCAGAGCGGTCGTATCGATATCGATAGCATATGGATTGAGCGCGTTTATTCTTCCACATGATCTCGATCTGGATCTCACGTATCCGCACGTATCCAAATTCATCGAAGCATGGTCGTCTGTCTATGCCACATTCATCTGACTTGAATCGGACTTCCACGTGCACCGAGGGCAAAAATCAGAGGAAATCCTGTAGTGATTAGCACAGCTGTCACTGCAGTCAAGAGTACAGGATTTACTGTACTTTGTACGGGATTTACTGTACCACAGGAGTTAGTCCGAAGGTGAGCAGATTCAACCTTGCAAATCGAGATGCCGGAATGCCACTTAACATAGTTGTAGTTGTGTTCCCCACACTGCAAACCTAACTGTCTACTAAGTACTACTAAGTAAATGCATGCTTGCAAGTACACACTTACAAACGCATGCTTGACGCCGTATAACTCCATGCATCAAGCATGCGTTTGTAAGTGTGTACTTGCAAGCATGCGTTTGTAAGTGTGTACTTGGCCAAGCATGCGTTTGTAAGTGTGTGCTTGCAAGCATGCATTTGTAAGTGTGTACTAAGTAGACAGTTAGGTTTGTAGTGCAGGATCAGTTTAAGAGGTGGAGCTAAGATGGTCCCACTTGTGGGGCCTCGTGGCGACGACTAGAATAGTCTATTGATTTCTAGGTGACCTCTGGTATCAACCTTGGGGAAATGCCTAACTTAGTAGCCAGATTTTACATCGAATATCGAGACAATCGAATGAAGCTTCGCCAAGCTCACAATGACCGGTGTGCACCCCGATGTAACCTGGATGGTGGGTGGATAAGGCGAGTTTCTGAATACACGTTGCACGTAGCTTCACTTGGACGTTTTTACTTCATTGTCGGGTCGACCATCCACCTCTCACAAGGCAACATATTCAGGTGGAAAGGACTATACTTTCGTTTACATTTCGAAAATGCACGTGTTACACTACTTAACCTGTAAGACATTTGTTGTCTATTTGTGCATGGATTAAAGTTAATCTACTGATCACAAGTACATTTTAAATGTAAAGTAATAGTACTTGGACTGCAGATAGGTCAATGCAGTCCAGCTGCATTCCAACAGCAGTTAAACTGCTCAAACTGCTGTAAAACTATAGTTAACTACAGTTCAACTGCAGTTTATTTACTGGGAAAGTGGTAGTTTTTTCGGACATTTGCAGTTTTTCTGCAGTTTGGAATCTAGTTGAAATCGTTTTTTTTAAAATACAGCTCCAAAACGTATTTTAACTACAACAATCATTACAATCATAAATGTACTGAACAATGCAAAGCTCAAAAACCAAATTTTTTTGACATTCCGTCTCTTTTTCTCTCCTCTTATGCCCCTCTCCTGTGCCCCCTTCATCTCATGGTTTGTTTCGTATCTTGGATGTGAAAGTGTGATGTCAGTGTTGGGATTCGATCCTGGATCTTTTGTGTTGTGGAGTTGTTGTGTTATCCACTGCGCTGGTGAGCGCCCGTGGGGACGAGCGTGCGATGCCCCGACCACATGACAAGGCCTCCCGCCGCAACGACTGTTCAGATGAACTATAGTTTTTCTGCAGTTGAGCTACACATAAAATGCACTTGCCGGGAAAAAATTTACGTTTTCTCCGCTACAACTAATGCTGCCCCTTGCCGAACCTAAATTATTCTTCCACGATCAGAGGACAAGAACCCCTGGACGAACAGCTTAGAGTCTGCAAATTCTGATGACACTTCGCGTCTAACTTAACAAGTGTATGCCTTGAAAGAGTATAACAGCAGTTTCGACTCATCGTGCGACACACATGGCGAAATGAAGCCTGAAGCGCAAAACAACTAGAATAAAAGTACAATTATTACTTCACTATCGATGAGCACTTCAAATGTACATTCGAAAATGCATTTCGATTGCAGACTCGATACCGCTTAGAACGCTACTTCTAAACTGCAGTCGAAACTATGCTTTGATAATAGTTCACGTATGTTTTTGTCTACTTTTCAGTCTACATGGCGATCTGTATTTTCATAATGCACTTCGTTTGCATTATTACTACAGTTTAGGCACTACAGTTTAAGACTGTAGTTGGGACTTAGTATGAACTGCAGTCCTTTCCACCCAAACCCCTTTCCAGCCAAACTTTATTTTTTGTAAGAATAACATATAAGATTAAGAATGCACCCCAAAGTTGGTGCCAAGATACATATCCACACCCCTCCTGATTTTTTTAAACCGAAAAAAGGGGTAAAATGGTTCATGTTTCTACATGCAACGAGCAGATTTTCAGTCGTAATTGAGCAGTCAAACCAAAATATGTGCAAAATAGGGTACTATATGAAACAGACCAAAATTTTCTCTCATTTTCGTCAGAAAGGGACCAAACATTGTGGGAAATGATAAAAAACTAGACTTCAAATTTTCCGATTTGATGTCCGAAAATGACCCATACACTGCAAAAAGGCTTATTTTAACCCCTTTTTTTGTTTTAAAAAATTGGGAAAGGGTGTAGATATATATCTTGGCACCAACTTTGAGGTGCATTCTTAATCTTATTTGTTACTCTTCCGAAAAAAAAAAGTTTGGCTGGAATCTGAGTGTACCACCTGAATATGTTCCCTTGTCAGTCACGCGGATGTTTCCATGGGGATTAACTCCGTATTTTAGAATACAAAATGTCCTTCCATAATGTAAGCAATAGCGTCTGATATATTCAGGTAGTTTTTGGTCACGTCTGTGAACTGTACTGTCTTAAAATGTTTAGAATTCTGAAGAAAAGCTTTTGAGACAAATCAGACGGCTTAGTATTCCTAAAGAATTTAATTTTAATAGAACTGCACCGTCACTGGTTTTCTGAAAGTAATAATGATCTCATATAAAACCCAATAACATTTGTATAACATTAGTAGCGCCGTGAAAAAGTTATTGCATTATAAGTGCATTAAATATTGTATTGCATCAGTGCATTTAGCACTTCATTGGCGTAGTTATCATTTTATCACACCAAAACAGTGATAATCTGGGCCATGACCGGCCAAAACCTTAGAGACACTGTTAAAAAAAGTCTGAAAATTCAGACCATTTTTTCCAGACTTCCTACTCTGAAATGGGAATTCAGACTCAAGTCTTAAAGTTCAGACTTTAGTATAAATTTTTTGGGTTGCACGGTCTGAAATGCGTTTTCAGACCGAGAGATGAAAATTCACAATTGATGCTCTTATTTTCAGAATCCTTGGTCTTTCTTGTAGATTCAGACCGCAGTCCAAATTTTTATCGCCTGGTCTGAATACAATTTGTAATCTCTGTATTTCTGAAGTCAAAATCATGTCGTCAAACACACATTTAATATGGTATGTGGATTACTTGAAAACCGATGAGTACTTCGGTATGGACCGTCAGGACCCCTGTCGGACGGCTGCCCGAGTCGCAGCATGTACTCGGCTCGACGCTCCTCGGAGCCCACAAGCGCCACACGGCTTAGTGGATAAGGTGGCTGCCTCGTAACCCGAGGTCCGGGGTTCGAGTCGCAGTGCAGTACCATTTTTACGTCTTCCGATACAGTTCGAGAGTGCCCATTCCCTTCAGTAGGAAGGTTTCTGGATTAACCGATGAATACAAAATTTTCATTTGGAAGCATCGTTGATATAAAAATTTTGCAGTCTGAATTTTCATGAGAATTCTGGCTTGTCTAACATATCAGACTATATCAAGAAAAATTTAATTAATTCACGTCTACTTTTTCAAGAAAGATTCATATAACTCTGAATTTTATAACAGTAGCCAAAGTTATGCAATAACTGCTAAATATTGTATTGCATTAGTGCATTTAGCACTTCATTGGCGTAGTTATCATTTTATCACACCAAAACAGTGATAATCTGGGCCATGACCGGCCAAAACCTTAGAGACTTCCTGCATTTTTAGTGCGATAATTTGAAGGAATCACATTAGCCCTTTTATCGCAGCAATTTGTAAGCAACTTATCACATTGGGAATATCAGTGGCGATTGTCAGTTATACGAGATAAATTCCGATAATGAAAGACTGGTGCAGACTTTCGTTAAGTTCAAGAACAAAATCCTTAGTACATACTTTTGAGCCCCCCCCCCCTCTCTTGTATTACCCCGCTAATCATGGCGCGCCTGCGCCTCCTGCAGGGAGCACGCTTACCTGAAACGGGAAGTCTTTAATATCCGCTGTCAGCCCTCCGACAATTTTGAGTTTTGAATTCTCTTCTAGCGGACGTGGCAGTGCATGGCAAGCTGTAATCGGAAGTTAAAGTTAAAGACTTTAAGGGGTTCTGCGCACTGCCCTATCAAGCTACATCCGACACCAGGTGTCATAAATTTTAACCTGACGTCCGAAGGTTCGGAAGGTTCAGTATGAAGCCTGGGATTCTAAATTATAAGCCGAGAAGGTTTCATCCTGGCTATTAAATGGCAGTAAAGATTGCGCGCATGTTGACGTCATGGCGGCCACCATTCTTATCAACTCTGGCTCCGTCACGACCGACACCGACCTACTCACAAAAGGAATAATCCTGTCCGTTACAGTCGGCCGATTTTCCATTTTTGGCAATATTTTTTTTTGAGTGAGTACGTTCGAAATAGCTGGAGTCCCCCAGCATAAAAGTTGGAACCGAATGAATGCTGCTTTTAAATGCGATGAGATCTGTTAGTGTGGCTACGTGTGGCGAGAGTCTGTCGAAGGCAGACCAGCGCCGCTGGCCAGGGTAGGTGTTAACGCCAGGCGTGGATTGTCGGAACTGGCGCAGCATCGCGAAGCCTGTCACGACAAGCCACTGTCTGGCGTAGGTGTACGACAGATCGTGCCTTGTCGTAACATGCTTCGCGGTGCTGCGCCAGTTTCGACAATCCACGCCTGGCGTACACACCCACCTTGGCCTGCGGCGCTAGCCTGCCTTCGGCATGCTGCTTTCCTAGTCAAACCGTGGAAATAGGCGTGATCCCCACCAAAAGAAGCATTTGGTGATCAAAACATTCACTAATCGGACTTAACTTTTGGTCGGGGGTCAGAATGGGTTCTATTTTCTCGCATTAGGAAATAAATAACTGTTTTATCAATGAGCGTGTTACGGTTAGAAGTAGGAGGTTCCACCTAGTTGTTGCTGGCAAGTGGAACCTACCTCCTTCTTCTAACCCTAACACATGTGTGTTTGTACGTTTCTTGGACTAAGTCCGTTGACTTGTTTGATCTGTGGGTAGGGCCAACTCATTCTTATTTTTACCTAAAGAGTCACGCCAAAAATCGGCGTGACTCAAAAATTCACGCCAATTGTTGTTGTGAATTTCCTATCATGCCGGTTTGTGGCAGGGATCCTTAACTTGCATAACATAAGGGCATCATAACGTTATAAGAGTTAAAGTTATTACCCTTAACTTCTAACGTCTTTTCTAAAGGGAAGATTATTTTTTTATGTCTCGAATTTGTGTGGATATACTTTTGCAAGTACTTTCATAAGTCCGTACGCTTAACCTTTAGCGAACATTGTCTTGTGTTACGTTAAAGCAATGTTAGTTAAATGTTAGGTTAAGGACCCCTGGTTTTTGACATGACTTTCTCATGAAACGTGTTGTTATTCGCGCCAAATGAAGGCGTGACTCACTGTGTCATGCCGTATATCGGCGTAAATTTCGTGTCCCACCAGTTTTTGGCGTGGCTCTTGGTCACGCCATAATTCCGGCCATGTGTCCGACCCTTACGTTTTCAGTGTAGCAAACCAGGGTAACTTGAGAGAATATTTCACGTTTTTTGGACCGTGTGTCCACAATACTTCTCTCACCAACCCGAATCCCAACTATCTTTAATTTCACATGATTACATTCAGTTTGGACCCCATGAAGTTTTTTTTGGGGAGTAATGGGCCTCTAAAGTTGTCTGAAGTTACCCCGTCATTTGGGGTAACTTGAGACACACCTAGTTTTTACTTTGCTTTTTCACGGAAGGGGTTTTTTTTTTTGCCCCCATACTGATTTTCTGATACATTTAACTTTTTTTAATGAAGTACTACTTGGGGAAAAATATTAGAAGATTTTTGATCCAAATATTATTTTTTTTCATCAATGTTACATTGGTATTTGAGGGATACGGCACGCCCGAAGCGAAACGATTTTTCCATTTCACATCCACCCGTAAACTAAGTACAGCGATTCTCTCATTTCACACCCAAACCCTGACCCCTTTGAAAGACTTTTTCTTATTTCTAAGTACACAAGTCCATTCCTGCAAAGGTATATAGTCTTAATCAATTTTTAAAGTTAACTCAAAATCCTTTCACAATTTTTACAGTTGTTTTTCTTCAAAAAAATCGACGGTTCTTGGGCTATAAGTGGTCCGATTTCAATGGTATTTAGCTCGCTGGAAAGGTAATTAAATTCCCCATCTTTTGCGACTTCAAGATTTATTAAGTCTTATCTGGTCCGTGAGTAGTTGAGAAAACACTCCAACTTTAAGCTGCATATCAACTTGGGACCCTCCCCCTCCCCACTGTCTAAAAAAGTGATTCCCGATCAAACTCGGCTTGGTTTTGATCTTTGAACGGAGAGGTCCTTTAAATTTTAAAATCACCCTGTAGTACAAGGGGGCCAGTGCCCAAGTTACGCCACTCAAACTTCCGTCAAATTCAACGAAATTTGGTGTTTTAAGTTACCCCGCACAGTTACCATCTTCTATGAAAGTCAGTATCACCCTATGAATGATGGGTTCCGTCAAAACCAATGCTGCATTTAGAATGTTAAAATAACAGGGTTGAAAGATGCTACGGTCATTGGGGTCTCAGCAAGACGTGTTTCGAGTACCAAGGAAGACTTGTAACACTTCTCTAAAATTGGTAAATTTACTAAAATTGAAAAATCGTTATAGAACTGACCAGCTTGGTCCTAACCCCCCACATTATATTTGTAATTTGACGAATAATTGTACGACGAATGATTTTTTTTTTATAAAGGGCTCATTATTTTATGAATGCTTCGTTGGAAAAATGACTAACTCAAAAACATAAAAAAACGCATGTTTCATTCCCCAATTTTAACGTTACAGCATCACAAGCCATTCGTAACTTTACGAATGTTTCATAATGTTACATGAATAATTCATAAATTTAAGAATGTTTCGTAGAGTTTTATATGAGCCATTCTTGTACAGTTTCTGTGGAAAAATCGTAAATTTAAGAACAATTAAACGATAAATGGTTCATTATTTTATGAATGGTTCGTAAAATTTGAATACCTTTCGGGCGTTTTCAGGCACATTTCTCCAAAAAAATTTAAAAAGGGTTCAAAATTTGGCTCATTCATGATTTTTTTTGTAGTGAGCATAAAACGAGCCATTCTTAAGATTACGAAGCATTCATCGCCAAATATGTCGCAAAATTACGACAACTTTTTTCAGCGACTCTAGAGATGGGTGGGGCAATTTACCTGCCAAACTCGCAAGAACGATTGTAAGACGCAACATGCTGCGACGCGACAAACTGCCAGACTAGCATCAGCCTCGTCCCCGTGCTGCCAGCTGGCCCCGCTTCCGATAAGAAAGAGAACAACGGCCATCGGCCGAATAGGCTTGAGACGCTTAAAGGGGCTCATACTGCACTAAGAATCCAAACGCTATGAATTGGTGCAATGCAAAAGCATCGCACATGAAGTGCAATGCCTCCCTATTCCCTGCATTGGGTCTCGATATGCACGACTTTTCAGATGCAATTTTTGGGTAGCACTCAAAATTTTCTTTTTTTTTGTGCTGTTTCCTAAATGCCTGGGTTTTGCGATAGGATACTCCTTCATGACCCTACCGGGCTTTTTCCCTTGGCCAAAAAAGCGGATTTTTTGGGTACTTTTTCTTGTTTTTTTGGTTCCACATTCCATCCTAAACTGCCGGGGCGGCTGTTGCCGGTCGGAGGGTCACCGCCTCACTAAATACAATTTTTGCAGCTTGGCTGGACCACCGTACACCTCACATATGTGCCCCCAGAGTTTTAAATTTTCATACTTTTTAAACACAATTTTTTGATTTTTCCCCCCTTTTTTCAGCTTTTATAGGATTGTACTGACCAATTCGGTCTATACCATGACCAGAGGTTGTATAATGGGGAGGGGCACATAAAAACGCAAGGCGTCGGTGGACGGGGGCTGGGTAGGGAGGGGGGGAGGGAGGGGGGGGAGGTACAGGAAACAATTCCCCAAAAAGGGTCCAAATCAGCTGCTCTTGCCGACGCCACTGTAATAAAAGGGTCGGAAAGTGGGACATAAAATATTTTATTGTTCTAACTGACTAACTTAATAAGAAAGACGTATTCTAGTGAAAAAAGTGCCACGGGACCATCCATGCGACACAGGGACGTCTTTATTAAAAAAGAAGTGGTAAAAACGCCAAATTTTAAAGATCTTGACGCCCATGGCCCTGCTGGTTGATGAATCCGCGGCTTTTCTCGACCCCCTACTGGTTGAGGCGAAACAGGCAACACTTTGATAACATGAGGGTCATCGAGCCAGGGGGAACTCTAGATTTTGGGCCTCAAAGTACACACTTTTAAAAAAAAAAAATCCACCAAAATTATTTCTTTTGACAAATCCGAGCCCCTGGCTTCGGCTCTGCGGCAATCCCGCACCTCTTATCGACGTCAACGGGAAAAGGAGTACCGGGAAAAACACGTTATAACTTCGAAGCATTGCCCTGGGGTTGAAAACCTCAAGCGTGTTGTTGTCGTCCCCCTCAACAATTCTTGTCGAGAAAATTTCCCGGATTCACCATGGGGCCTAATGCTAGGTGTCAAATTTGTCAAAAACCGGCATTTTTGGTAATTTTTCAGAATATCATAAATTTTAAGGCCAAATATAAATAGTTCCGCACCTGCCCTCAATGCTTCTAATAATGAAACGTGTTGTCCTTGTCCCCCTTTACGAGTTAAACTCGATAAAATTTTTGGTTTTGGCCGCAGAGCCGAAGCCAGGGCTCGGATTTGTCAAAAAACAGCATTTTGGTGGATTTTTTTTTGAAAAGTGTGTACTTTGAGGGCCCAAAAATCTAAGTTCCCACCTGGCTCGATGACCCTCATTTTTCACGTGTTGTCCTGTTACCCCTCAACCATAGGCGTCGAGAAAAACCGCGGATTCATCAACCGCAAGGCCCTGGGCGTCAAGATCTAAAAAAAACGGCGTTTTTCCATTTCTTTTTCAATAATGACGTCCCTGTGTCGCATGGATGTCCTTGGCACTTTTTTCCTAAAAACGTCTTTCTATATTAAGTCTAGTCAGTAAAACCACATTTTGAGTGACAGCCATGTTTATTCCCCATTCTGATGGGCCCGTCTCGTGAGGTCCTTTTTTTTGGGTGAGGTCAAGCGAGATGAGGGCTCTTACCCAACCTAACCTAGGTGGAAGTGAAGATGAGGGGCCTAACCCCGCCCAACCTAAGCCAGGGGGAGGGGTCAGTCACCTGCCCTTAGAACCCCCAGAGGGCGTTTTTGGGGGATCTGACTGTAAAGGGCGGAGAAACGCTTAACGGACGCGGGGGGCCTGTGAGGTGGGGAGCCCTCCGCTTGCATCTCGCGAAGCACCTAATCAGACGGATATCATCGGCATCATTGTTTAGATAGTTCAGGGGGCGGCAACGGCCTAGGAAGCGCGTGAAGCCATGCGCGAGTAAGGTGCAGGGGTTCCTTATTTTGCTTCAATTCGAAAATCTAGCCCGTTTTATTGCAAAAAGCTTTGCACAGATCAAAAGAGCACAAAATTTGGGGTGCATTAGGGCAAGTAGACTGCCCGATACTTCCAATTCAACCGAACACAAAGGGGGAAATCATTTACATCAACATGGCGCACTCGAGTTTTTTCTTCAATTTTATGATTTTGTGTTTTTCGGTTTTTTTTTTTCTGCACCTTTAAAATTTTGGTAAGGGGGGGGTTTTGAGAAGAGCAATTAGCCTAATGCCCCTAAATTTTAAGCCCTTTCCATCGGGGCAAAGCGTTTTTTACAAACACAGTCTAGTTTTCATAATCTCGAGTGCGCAACCTCTGCACTGACGACGCGAGCATCGCTTCACGCTCTACCTAGGCCGTTGCCACCCCCTGAAAATTTTTTTTATTTCATGATATTTTTTTTTTTTTTTTTTTGCGTCCATTTTACAGCGCTCGCTCATTTACGTGAGTTGAGGTACACCTGCCTGCACCAACCGAAACGCTTCGCATTGCCCGCAGCACAATTTTTTGGGGCTGTGAGAGCCTATGGGATCAAAATGGCAAGGGCCTAGGGCCCTTTGGGGAATATTTTTGAGACTGGTACATCCGAATTTCTCCACGTCAATGATCTGCTTTGAGGGTTACAGTTGATTTTCCTTGTAAGCTTATGCATGCTCAACTTCATTTATGTGTTTGTGTACTCATGATTTATTTTCCTTGCAAGTAGTGCAGGGGACAGTTTCAGTTTGTTAATTAATTTGGTCTGTACATAATTTATAATATTAGTGGCCAGTTCTTCACATTACATCACCTGAACTGTGTTTGTGAAGTTGACTTATTTGTATTTCCAAATGCTTCAGGGGACAGTTTTCAGTTTGTTAATTAATTTGGTCTGTACATAATTTATAATGTTAGTGGCCAGTTCTCCACATTACATCACCTGAACTGTGTTTGTTAAGTTGTTACTTGTATTACCAAATGCTTCAGGGGACAGTTTCAGTTTTTAAATTTAAATTTTGGGCTGTACATAATTTTTAATATTAGTGGCCAGTTCTCCACATTACATCACCTGAACTGTGTTTGTGAAGTTGACTTATTTGTATTACCAAATGCTTCAGGGGACAGTTTCAGTTTATTAATTAATTTGGTCTGTACATAATTTATAATATTAGTGGCCAGTTCTCCACATTACATCACCTGAACTGTGTTTGTGAAGTTGACTTATTTGTATTACCAAATGCTTCTAACTTTATCAGTGTGTGTGTGTGCCGTCCTTGACGTAGGATAATAAATTTTAAAACCAGAATAAAAAGACTCGATTTTATTGCATCTCATAAGAGAGCCCTGCATGCACAAAGGTAGTCGATATGATTTAATATAGTTGCCCCTAGCTCTCTTGCTGGATTATGGGGCAGGCTGGCCAAGAGGCATCGCATGGTGTCTCTCAAGTCCGCAAGCACACAGTCTAGTAAATGCTGTAGATCTGAGGGAATGAAATTAGCATTGATCGACATGACACGCAGCAAGAATGCACTCAATATATTGAAATACACACCTTCCTCTGAGGCGGTGGAAGGTGGGTAGTGGGACACGCAACTTAACATGCCAAATTGGTGAGCATTTTCCATTTCGACAAGAAACGAGTCACTCATGTCGACGAGCCCTTGTAGATGAGCTGTATTGCTTAATGATGCACTCAGTCTGGCCACAATGGGACCCAAGGTAGGCGCAGTCCAAAAGGGTTGTCTTCACACAAGGCTTTTTGTGAAAGTGATGCAGAAGAGAACAGGAGGGGGGCGATTCCTGCTTGCTGACCTAGGTGGAATGTGACACTATTTCGAATTTGGTTTCGAATTGCAGCTTACTGCCAACATGAGAAAACGAGTTTTTGAGCACAGCAAAGTGAATGCATATCAGCGTGAATAATGCTGCCGACATATTGATGAGCAGCTACACCACAGCTGGGCTCACATATCCTCAGGGATGATGCATTTTGTGGGGGATTTCACCCAAAGCGGAGATCACACGCCTAGGGATGCACGCGCGCGTGTTGGCAATCCCGTCCCCGCCCTGCAGCCGCAGCAGCAACGCCCACCACTGCGCACGCCCCCCGCCCCCTTGAACTCTTTGGCCAGGGGAACGCTTGAACTGGACAGGTTGTTGCCGTATTTTTTTGCACTTTATCTTCAAATATTTAAGTCCCCTTGCATGGTGTAAGTTAATAAAAATGTTTTCTAGTAAATGCAACACATTTTGATCGAACATATGCACTTTAATTGCCTTTAATTTAGTCTTTTGTGATTCATCTTGTTCTTCACTCAGCCACGACTTCTTATTAACTTCTTATTAACCGACAATTAGTATGTCATTTCAGCACTGCCATGGTATTTGACATAGAAAACATGCTCAGCAGCAAATATGCATGTCATTGCCTCTGACATGAGAATCTCCAATTTTCCCACCTAGTTTCCTGCCCAGGTCAAGCGTTTCCCTCGCCAAAGCGTTTAGGGAGAAGAAGGGGGCGTTTTGACAGGTGCCAAAATTCGTATAAAAAGATGCGGATTTCATCAAAAGTTCCTCCGTAGCTCATTGGGCCCATACGAGATCTCCACACCATCCAGCTCGCCAGACCTAAAAGTAAGTGTTTCTTTCTTTATGTACATGTGTGTCAGGCCATGTGTTTGAGAGGTTAGGATCTGTGCCGACACTGCCGGTTTCTTGAGTGGATAGATGGATGAATGAATGAATGAATGAACGACTGAATGAATACAGGGCTGCCCTTTTTGGAAGTAGTCACATTTACAAGATATTGGAGTGCTCATGACAAATGTTCCTGTTGCAGTGGATCCACCTACCACCCTAAAGCGACGAGCGGGCAGGCGAACC